CTGCCCGTGCACTCTTCTGCACATGCGCAGAAGCTTCTGGGCATGTGCAGATCACTTCTGATGATGTCTGGGTCAGTGGGCGGAGCCTCCTGCCGGTTTTACTACTGGTTCTTGCGAACCGGTCCAAACCGGGAGGTGGGAGGGGAACCCACCATTGGCCCTGACTCTACCCCAATGCAAGGGATTACAATGTTGTTAAAGGGAAAAAGATTAACAATGTGACCCAATTTGAAAATTGACTTAAAAATAAGATTCATAGTTTTAGATAATCTGTACTATTAAAGGATACTCGCCAGATGTTTTAGATTTCAGCCCTTGTTGCTAGCTAATATAATTGTTTTGGTATATGTTTTATTTCCAGTTTTTCTTTAACAACCTACATTTTTTTGTGGACAGTGTAATGACTGGGTTAACATATTTTTCACACAGTGCTCACAGTAATAATACAATTGCATATACATAAATTTTACCTTCCAACTTCTAACCTTAATGTGCTCATTATAATTATAATATATTCTTTTATATACTTATTAACTCCTAACATGTTAATATTATAGATATCACTCAGTGTTCCACCACATTTTCAATAGCTCAATTTTCTAGAAAGTTGCTAGCTAATATAATTTTGTAGAGGAGTGTAAATTGGTGTCATTAATTTGGGATCTGTTGAAGTTCGTCTAGCTTGGTTTCAGAAGAATTAGATGGCAATCATCCTATCTTGTGGGATCATCCTTGCTGCAACTCTGTGGGGAACAGAGTGGGTTGAGGCCTTTCTGGTATGCAATAGCTAATCTTATCCATTTACCCATCCAGCGATCCATATCTTGCAGGTAGGTTTGCCAGAAAAAAAATACCTTGTGTGCTGAGAGTGTTGAGTCTGGAAATGAAAAATAGAATGGGAATCAAGAAGAAAACTTGGCCAAGCCTCCTTTTTTCTTAACCTGCTCCCCATTTTTTTCATTGAGCCTACTCAAACATCAAAACAAGGTGAACATGACTACAACTCCTCAAATGTCAAGAGGATTTTTTAAAAGAAAACTTTTACCCCCTTCCCCACATGTAAATAGGTAGTATATCCAAGAGAGAAATTCTAACTTGTTCTCCTAGTTCTGTTTTTGAAGAGGATAAGTATAACAATTATTCCAAACCATATTGCTAAATCACAAGGATATGAATCTCAGTCAGAGGGTAACTATTGTATTATGATAAGCAGCCTTTAAAGTTATAGTTGTTGTAACTACTTCTTAAGCATTCAAGCCTGTGATTTCACCCATTTCTTAACTTGTCAAAGCAATACTAAAATGAAGGCAATGCATCTACCAGGCTGAATTAAAGCAACCTCATTGCACAGATGTGAAATCAATAAATAGGGCTTGCTTAGAGCCAATAGATACTTTCAGCTGATTAGAATAATTTGCAATGTTCCTTTTTGTTGCATTAACCAACCTGTCTTTTGCAGGCCAGCTTGCTCTCTGAATTAGAAAAAACTAGTGCAGGTAATTCTCGATTTATGACTGGTTGCTTAGTGACTGTTCAAAGCTATAATGTCTATGGAGATTCTCAGTCATCCAGGTCACGGTTGTCCCAAAGGTACTTTTTCAAGAGGTAACTGGACTTTCTGGTTTTTCTTTGAAGACGTTTCACTTCTCAACCAAGAAGCTTCTTCAGCTCTGATTGGATGGTGGAGAATGGAAAAGTATCTCCAAAAAGTATTACAACCCAATTCTGAAGGTCCGGTAGCTATCCCCTAGTCATATGACTGTAATTTATGACATTTTTGCCAAAACCCAGCACTTGCTACCCATTTTTTTTTTTTTTGGCAAAAACACCCCATAGTGAGCAATTTGTTTGCTTAACAACCATGGATTCATTTAATTAACCATGGTGATTCACTTAATGACAATTGCAAAAAAGGTCATAAAATTAGGTCGGTCAACATAGGTAACCCGCTTTATGCCCATCATACTTAAGACTATAATGGACAGTAGACAAATCAAAGACTACCTGTAATTCATATCCAGATTGTCTGTAAAACCTTATCCTGAATTCCCTCAGTTAGCTCTTTCAGATGTTTTCCAACCAACTGGCTACAAATTCCTGGAGTTTTAATCCCAGGATATCTGAGGGTCCAATTTGGGTTCTAGTCCAAATATGAAAGAGAATTAACTGAGATGATCTGAATGAAGCCTGTATATACAAATTAAAACATGGAGCTCAAATTTCAGCTAAACTCTGGAGGGAGCAGGTGACTTACTGGGTACAGAACCTGATGCCCCCAGAATCACAAGCAACCTCTCTCTATCTCTCTCTCTCTCTCCCTCCCTCCCTCCCCCCCCTCTCTCTCTTAGAGTCTGTCAAAGTATAATGTTAATGGGTCAGAATAGGAAACTTCTGGGGAAAAAAGTGGTTCTGTCATTTATCCTTGCTTGCATGATTTTTGCATCGTACCATTTTTATTTCATTTGTAGGCTGCCTTGGGGCAATGATCTGGTGGTTGCAACTTGGATTTTTCTCAGGTTATTAATATCTAAAATGTAATGTAACATGCTAGTTTGACAGAAATAATTCTTGGAATTTCAGTTTGGCAAAGTGCTGTGAGGGGGGGAGCCGCGGGGGGGGGGAGAATTTAAAACAAGATAGACTGTGTAGCTGAAAATCTACCTGCCTTGCTGTCTGCATAAAGCTCTTTGTCTCTTCTTTCCAAGCTTGATTAATTTCCTAAATTTCGTAAACAAATGCTGTGGTTCAGGCCAGATTGGAAATTGCATGCGCACATTGAGAACAAATTAAAATATTCTCATTCCTTTAAGTTCAGATATATAGGGAATCATTGTGATGTGTGTGAGCTAGGCATTTCACACATGTCCTGAACTCATTGCTTTGTTGTGATTTCCAGGAGTGAGTTCTGGATTCAGGTGAATTCCAGGCTTCTTATAATCAGGAGCCCCCAAGCTTTTTTTCTAGGCTAAGGTCCCATGTTTTGCCTTTAAGGAAGTTCAGTTCAAAAAGAAATGGGAAGAGCCAGAACAATTAAATCTGGTTAATAGGATGACTCCTGCTAGGTACTTAATAATTTCCATCTTCTGTCACCTTTATTAGATTATACCAGATCTCTGGGATCCTTTCCCAGAGTTTATAGGAGCCACGTACTGCCCAGGAACCCCACGTTTGCTCCTCTGATATAGATTATCCGTGCCCAATGGTGGGTTGTATCGTAAGCATTTCTTTTTCAACAGGCTGAATTCTGAGTGCAACTGTCTGTTTACACAGCAGTGGCTTGCTGAGTTCTGAAAAAGCCATTCCTGAGTTTTGGGGCTAGAGCTTCCTGTCAGTACTGTCCCTTGGGACATGCGTGGGTATTGGTTTTGCTTGTCTACTCTGTTCCTAAACTGTCTTTTGACACAAAGCCCTCCCTAATTGATGCAAAACACAGAAATCTCTTTCTTTCTCGATTCTTTCATTGCAGAAGCTCAGCGCTGCATGTCTACACAAGGGAACTTTCTTCTCTTCCTCCTCACTACTTTAACTGCAAAAAAAACCCAAAAAACCTGTTTTAACTGAAAATACATTCCTGGCTTGAACCCTTGTGTGGATGCAATTAGAGAGTAGGACTTTTCTCGGGGTGAGATCTGTTCCTTGCTTGATTCCAGGCCAAATCGTTTCAACAGTCTGACATGGCTGAGGACTCCCATTTGGTTATATAGTGATAGGGCTGTAGACTTTTCCAAAGCAAACTTGCAAACCTACTGAAAATGCCTGCCCTCAGTGCCATGAAGAATGTGTAGCGCCACATTCATTTGGGCTATCTTAGGCAGTGGTGAGTTCCTCCCGGTTCCGACGAGCCGGTAGCAGTGATGATATGACATCACCGAACCGGTTCTGGCCGCTCCCACCCCTCCCACCCACCCCGCCTTATTCTTACCTTTTATTTGGCCCCACCCCCAATCTGTTGCTGCCTCCTGAGTCCCAGCTGATGGCTAGAGGGAAAAAAACTATTTAAACTTTTGTAGCGGGGCTTCAAAGGGCCGCCCTACAGCTGATCAGTGTTAAAAGAAAACAAATGAGTAGACCGGTGCCTGTAAAAATAAATGGGTAGACCAGTGCCTGCAAAAATACATGAGTAGATCAGTGCCTGCAAAAATAAATGGATAGATCGGTACAGCTCTGCAAGCAGTTAAAAGCTTGGTAGACCAGTACCTCTGCTAAATCCTAAATAATTGTCACATGAGCATCAAGCCACAGCCACAAAATAAGCCATGCCCACAGAACCGGTAGTAAAAAATTTTAGAACCCACCCCTGATCTTAGGCAAATGTTGGCTGGTACAGAGGTACATGTTGCAGGAATGTTGTGGCCCTTCAGGTACTATGGGCTTTGCCTGTATTTTCTCAGAGCTTCTGTTGCCTGTAGTTGGCATCTAGGAACCATAAAGTAAAAAAAGGTGTATGTGTGGAGTACTTGTGTGTCTGGATTTCCTTATAAAAGGCTCTGCTTCCTTAGGATGGCTTGAGTGTTGTGCTTGAGAAGTGTGAAGCCGAACTGGCAAACTGTGGTCTGTCAGCTCTTTACTGTATAGCTCCAAGTACCTGCTGTGGCTGCTGCTGCTGAACATCAAGAGACATGTTTTTAGCTATTCTGGTAACAGAAATGCAATATATATATATATATGTATGTATGTATGTATGTATGTATATATATATATGGAGTTTACATTCTAACTAGGTTTTCCATGAATGCCCCCAGTACCCCCAAATCTAAGGAAAAATCCAAAAATCCTGGTCTCACCAAATAGATGACATGATCCTGCCTGTTTTGCAGTATTGCCCTGCCAGGCTGAGACCTCTGTGTTTCCCCCACTTTAATAAAGTATGACCCTTGGCCAACGCTGGTGGTTTGAGATTCCTTTGCAGGCTGTACTATAATTCATGCTATCAATTGCTCATCCTTCCAGTAATTATTATTAATTATAATGAATGTCCTTTCCTTCTTTACTGATTGCAGTGTGTCCGTGATGGCGAGTGTGCTGTCCAGGAGGCTGGGGAAGCGGTCCCTGTTGGGCGCCCGCATTTCTGCACCCCCTTTGCTGGGGGATGGGATGCTGATGACAGCTCAGGTTCATCCCCTGCAGCCAGAACACACCAGAGCATCTTCACATCAGAGCACCCTTTCATATGAGGATGGACACTTCAAGGAACACGTTGAAGCCTCTGGCAATCAGAACCAAAATTGGCCAGTGCTACAACCTGGCCAAAAGGTACTGAATTTGGTGCTGATGACTATAAACCGTCTTTCATCTCAAAAATGCTGGTATTAAAAAGAAACACAATTCTGTAATAACAAGCCATACAGGTTTATTCAGTCAACAAGCAAGAAAATAATTTTCTTTTCTTTTTTTAAAAGTAAAATGCCTAGGGAAACTGGGAAAAAAAAATGGGTTGAGGCAGAAAAATGAGCAGGATTACTATTGATACCAGTTGCATCACCCTTGAGACATGTTCCAGAGTTAGGGTGCCATCGTGGAGAATTCTGCCTCATTTATAATGTGTAAAGTATTTCTTAGGCTGATGGTACTTGGAGAAAGTCTTAACCAATGGATTGAATAATGAAAGGCTTGCTGTTTGATATATTTTGGTCTCTAAGCCATTAATTTGGACTTAGAAATTAAATAGGAAACTAATTTAATTCCTTAAACCTTGGGGTAGATCAGTTTTTCCTAGTTTGGTATCCTCTAGATATGTTTAGACTACAATTCCCAGAATTCCCCTAGGTTGGAGAAACCACCTCAGAGTTTTACAACTGAAATCCTAGTAGCCAAATTCTTCAGGAGCTGAAGTCAATGAACTGGTTTCAAGGGCAACAGCCATACAACAAATCAGTGGGTGTTATGGACTTTTGTTGAGCTAATATTTACAGACGTATCTGCAAATATAAAAAAATCAGGGTTTTTTTTGAGGGGAAGGAAACTATTTTATTTCTGTACCAACAAACATTTCATGTCAGGCTTCACAGTTTATTTGAACTGGAACAAGATGCCATCCTGTCTCGCTGCTGTGTAAATGGCTCACCCCCATCACATCACTTTGGCCATACAGGCTGAGGTAATGTGAATTATAGGTAGACATATCTGAAGTATGTAAATCACATCTGGCTCAGTGGTGGGTTTCACATTTTTTTTACTACTGGTTCTGTGGGTGTGGCCTGGTGGGCGTGGCATGGCTTGGTGGGCGTGGTTTGGTGGGCATGGCAGGGGAAGGTTACTGCAAAATCCCCACTTCCTCCCGATCAGCTGGGACTTGGGAGGCAGAGAATAGATGGGGGCAGGGCCAGTCGGAATTTTTACTACCGGTTCTCCTAACTACTCAAAATTTCTGCTATCGGTTCTCCAGAACTGGTCAGAACCTGCTGAAACCCACCTCTGATCTGGCTGTCCTAAACCAATGATGTCAAAAGTTGAGTTAGTCTTTATTTCCAGTCTTCCTATATTACCTGCACACAGCCAGTGTATTATAGGTAGTTAAAAGCACCAGACTAGAATCCGGGAGACCATGAGCTCTAGTCCTGCCTTAGATATGAAGGCAGTTGGTTGACCTTGGACCAGTCTCTCTCTCTCTCCTCCCCCCCTCCCCCATCTAGCAGATCTAGGAAGAAGAAAGCAATGGCAAACCACTTCTAAAAATCTTGCTGAGGAAACTGCAAGGATTTGTCCAAGCAGTTGCCAGGAATCAACACTACTTTGAAGGCCCAAATGAATAAATAAATGTAAATAAACTGCATTCTCTTGTCAGTATATAAAATATTTAAAACACATTTAAAATACCTCCCTAAACCATATAAAGTAATGTAACAATGGCAATGTGTAGTTCCCACTTGCACTATTATGAATCCTCAAGCATGGAGGTGAATTGAGATATATTTTTGGCTTGTGACTAAATTATAACAATGCATTCTTTATTTCCAGGGGGAGGGTATTTCAAAGAACGGGTGCAACAACAGATGAGAGACCCTCTTCCCGATTGATATCCCATTTATAGATCTGATATGATACTGTGTAGAAATAATGGACAGCGATTTTGCACATTTGTAAATGAATCAAGTGGAACAGGCTATACTTACAGTGCTTTATTCATTCGATATTCCAAAAGATAAAGGATAAGTTTTAGTGTCACGTGTCACTGGGGATTTAATGTACTCTAAAATTGAAGATTTAGATGCATATGGTAGAATTTCCAATGAACTTCCATAGATTTAAGAGCTTGATTTCATATCGAGTCGTTTTGTATTCTCTCCTTTGCTATTATGCAAAGTGATGCATGTGATATTTGGGGGGAAAAAAGGGGGATTACTTAAAATGTGGCATGTTATCTCCTTTCCTTGGGGCTAATTTCCTGTTTCCTTTGTTAAATGTCAAGGACAGGTTGCTTTTCCAAATGGAAAATACTGACTGGCAGTGATGGGCATCAAGCCCAGGCTTTCTGGAAGGTCCAGCTTGGGGAAGTTTAGGTTAAAAAAAAGTGTGAAATTAAGGTGGCATTAGGGGACGACGACACAGAGAGAAACGTTAGGTGGCATTGCGGAAGAAGAGGAAATGTGAAGTAATCCTATTGTGAATTTCTATAAAAATAATTCTAGTTCCAAGTCTTTTGTTGGAGTTAGTGGACTATAAAAAGAATGCATTCAAAACCACTCATCCACAGACTCAGCATACCCAGTGCCTAAAAGTATTTGGGAGCTTTATGAAACAAAAAATATATCCTCAAAAGCTGACCAAATGAAAATAGGCCTTCCCCTCAGTTTGTAAATGCCAACATTGTTTTGCTTAGGTGAGTTGCTATTTAGGGCAGGGACACACCATTTGGGGGGTTGCATTTAATAGTTGGCTTGCTAGGTATAAGGTGCAAAAATTAATGTGTATTTATTACATATGTGAGTGCATTACTTACACTCATTTAACTGAGTGTAACCATCAGTTAAATCAAATTAAACTAAATACATTATTGGTTGCTCCCTATATACCTCTCCTTGTCATATTAAAAATAAAATGAGACAATTTGGAGGGGCTTTGGGGGTGGTGGTGTCTAAGGCTTTTGGGGTATATATGGCCTGATTCAGAAAGTGCCACAACAGCTTTCAGGATTGTGTGGGTAGATTCTGCAAAGTCCCAGCTGCATATCAGCCAAGGCTAAACAAAGCAAACAGTTCAACCAACCAGCAAACTTTGGCTGAAATATGACCAGACGTCCCCTTGGGAGTTCTACCATTGGAGTTGTTCCCACTCCTTCTGCAGGTGGGTGATGTTCTATAGCAGCCTTGTAGATGGAGGTTGCTTACAATGGGTATCTGGTGTTCTCCTTATCGCTGGTCCTTAACTTATGACCACAGTCAGAACCAGAATTTCCATCGCTAAGCAAGGCTGTTGTTAAGTGAGTTGGGCCCAATTTTACAACCTTTTTTTGCCATGATTGTTAAATGAATTACTTAACAATGAAGTATTTTATTGCTGTTAAGTAAATCATGCCATCATTAAGCGACTCCAGCTTCCACCATTGACATACAGGTAATCCTCGACTTACAACATTTCATTTATGTCCATTCAAAGTTACAGCAGTGCTGAAAAAAGTGAATATGACCGTTTTTCACACAACCATTGCAGCATTCCCATGGTCACATAATTAAAATTCGGACACTTGGCAGCTTATTTATGATGGTTGCCGTGTCCTGGTGTGTGTGTGTGTGTGTGTGTGACATGATCCCCTTTTGCGACCTTCTGACAAGCAAAGTCGATGGGGAAGCCAGATTCGCTTAACAACCATGTTACTAACTTTAACAACTGCAGGGATTCACTTAACAAATGTGGCCAGAAAGGTCGTAAAATGGGACAAAATTCACTTAATAAACATCTCCATTTAGCAACCGAAATTTGGGGCTCAGTTGTGCTTGTAAGTCAAGGACTAGCTGTAGTTTGAAGCCAATTGGGAAGGTCGCAAATGGTGATCACATGACTTTGGGATGCTGCAACCATTGTTAATAGAAGCCAGTTTGCCAAGAGCTCCAAATTTTCTTCACGTTACTATGGGGATTCTGTGGCGGTTGTACAGTAAGTGTGAGGATCGGTTATAAATCACTTTTTTTTCAGTGTTATTATAACTTTGAATGCTAAATGAACGGGTGTTAGTCGAGAACTACTTGCATAGCAATAGCACTTAGACTTAAATACTGCTTCACAGTGCTTTTACAGCCCTCTCTAAGTGGGTTACAGAGTCAGCATATTGCCCCCAACAATCTGGGTCCTCATTTTACCAACCTTGGAAGGATGGAAGGCTGAGTCAACCTTGAGCCTGGTGAGATTCGAACTACCAAATTGTAGGCAGCCGGCAGTCAGCAGAAGTAGCCTGCAGTACTGCATTCTAACCACTGCGCCACCACGGCTCAGAGCTTCCTTTTCCCTTCAGAGGCTTGAAATCATGGTTTTTCTTCCATTTTAGCTTTACCCTCCACTGTGTTTCTCCCATGAGGGAGCCTAGTAACCCAAGGCCCAATTGGAAGAATTGGGATTTAAATTCAGGAAGTCTTGATCCGAAAGCCAGTCCTTTAGTGCTCTCACCCTGGCTCACCCATCACAGTTTATTCAAACCACGGCTTGATTTATTGTATGAATTCAAATCTTCTCATCTGGCAGAATTCCTGTCTCATTGTATTTTGTTCATTGCACTACCTTAGTCTCTCCCCCTACATATTCTCAAGGATATGTTGTGATGGATGTCCTGCTTTACCTTTCAGCAGTAGCTACAACATTTAGACTTATATACCAGGAGCCCTGATGGCGCAGTGGTTAGAATGCAGTATTGCAGGCACAACCTGGAGTTCGATTCTGACTGGCTCAAAGTTGACTCAGCCTTCTATCCTTCTGAGATAGATAAAATGAGGACCCAGATTATTAGGGGCAATATATTGACTTTGTAAACTGCTCAGAGAAAGCTGTGGAGCTGTGGAGTGGTGTTCTAAGTGCTATTGCAATTGCTATACTGCCACATAATGCTTTACAACACTCTGGGCAGTTTACAATGTCAGCATTATTTGCATATTGCCCACAACAATCCGGGTCTTCATTTTACTGACCTAAGAAGGATGGAAAGCTAAGTCATCCTTGAGCCCTGTCAGGATCGAACTCTAGGCTGTGGGCCGAGTTTGCCTGAAGTACTGCACTTAACCACTGCTCCACGAGTAGTCTTATAATACGAGTTTGAAAGTAGATAGAGATTGAACATTAACCTAATCATGAATACATTTTCATTGCATTAGATCTAACTGCAGCATTTTAACCTGCATATACATAGTGCTCTCCATCCTCTCTCTCATCTCAATTGATGCCTAACTTTAAAAGGAATTAGGACAGAGGTGGGCAACTATGGCAACTTTACAATCTGTGGACTTCAGTTCCCAGAATTCTGGGAATTGAAGTACACAAGTCGTAAAGTTGCCATAGTTGCTCACCCGAATTAGGAAGTATGTGGGCAAACTTCCTCCCTTCCTGCACACACAGTCACAGACTCCCACAGAAACTTAGAGCAGAAAGAAGCAGAGGCTGAGGAAGGTGTCAAGAGCCCTACTGGATCCTGTACTGGGCTGCATGAGGCTACCACACACAGGTTGTACACACCTGTGACTTAATGCATATATATTTTATGGAGCGTTACAGATCCTGTCACTCCAGTTTTTCAGAACAGGGGATTCACTGCAGCTTCCCCAGTTTTTCCATATCCCTCTATAAATAACACCCCCAGGAATAACTTAACTCAAAGAGTGCCCCTCTCAGCCTAGATAAAATTACATACAAAAATAGACTTTAGGAAGTTAAGCAGCAAAGGGGAAAGACCTTTGCAGAGACCATCTTTCCATGGACTACCCAAGCATGGGCTAGTCATTCCCTTTCTGGCTCTCCATTCCTAGCCAGGTGGCCTGCGCTGTCTTATTAGATTGCATGTGCTTTTGTATGAGCACCATGAGCACCATGAGAATGGTTGGAGAGATTTCATGAGTTTTTGCTTATTCGCCTATTCTGACACTCTCTGAGAGATTTGACAAAGCCTGATGGAAAGTCAGCTGATAATCACAGTGTGTCCCTTTCACTTAGAAGTTGAACCAGAGTGCAAAATACATCACATGCTGGTCATGTAGATATGACTGTGGCTGCAGAGAACATATCTCAGTGAAATAAAGCAGCTCCTTTCCTGTTGTTCAGGGCTCTGGAAATGCATTTTTGAAGCCCTCCCATTATAAGGCATCGGAACTCTGAATTTGTTTCAAAATGACATTTAGCGGAGTATCTTCTCTTTAATAAGGGCCAGCCAGTTGCTTTACAATAGCGGCTCCCAATGTTTTGGGCATCAGGGACCGGTTCCGTAGAGAGAGGTTTATCTGCGGACCGGAGGGGGTGTGGTTTCGTGTGTTGCCTGCATCCAGCAGATGGGGCTTCACTTGTTTCCATGGCCTGGTTTCTGGCATGCTCCAAACCAGTGCCAGTCCATAAATGGGGGGTTGGGGACCCCTGCTTTACAAGCTTGAGCACCATAGCTACCCCTGTTCATTGCCTCTGAACATAGGGTGCCATTTGAATACTTGGCTCATAGTTATTGGTAGGTTTGGCTTTGGTTGCTTTGTTTATGTTAGGAAAAATGGAAACAAGGACAACAAAACAGGTTAACTCATTTGGAGATCAGAATGACCATTATGACTGATAGTGGCTTTTCTCCCTACAGGTATATGTCTTTTACAACGGGCAAGAGAGTGCTGGGTTGGTGGAGTACCATGACCCGGTCAGTCACGAAGTGAAGGTGTTGCTCCCGGAAAAAGGTTTTTATGTCACTAGGAAAGATGAAGAAGTGAGACTGGCTGAAGTTGTGATGTCACCTCTCCCCAAACTGGAGATGGGCCATGGAACCCCTACAACAATGGATTATAGTCCGGTTCCTGTGGTGATGGAGCATTGCACCTCTGCAGCAGACTTCGCTGCGACATCTGCTTTGAGATCGGTTTCTAGGAATATTGATGTACCAAAAAGGTGGGTGGTTTGGAATGCCCATTTGGTTGTAGTTATGCAATATTGCATAACAGTTCCATAATAATTTAGAGATTTTTTCCCTTCGCTGAAACAAAATGTGGAAAGCAGTTTTCCCTCCTGCTGTTTTCTTTCCCTTTCATTTTATTAGGTTGAAAGCACAAAGGCAAATACAGCTTTGTTTGCACTTGATCTTACATAAGCTACTCTAGGAGCCTTTTCAGCTGAAGGGTGGTAGATGGAAGTGTTTATAATATTTTAAACAAATGAGTAAATAATTTGCAGCCACAAACTAAAATAACATATCTTGACAAAGATGCCTTGGTGATAGTAGTTCATACCATGATCCACCCATTAGGCTAGTGTAAACATGCTCCATGAAGGGTTGCCTTTGGAGATAACCCACTAGCTGGATTGAGTGCAAATTACAACAGCAAGATTGTTGTCAGGACACCAGGGTAGGGATCTTTCCTAATTTGAAGTTGTACTGGTTATTAGTAAGCTTTAGGGCCAGTGGTGGGTTTCAAAAATTTTCGCTCCCGGTTCGGTGGGCGTGGCTAATGAGGGCATGTGACTGAGTGGGCATGGCCAACTAGACGTCACTCATGCCCACTCAGTCACATGACACCTCCCCCCAACCTAGCCACGGCCACAGGAAAAGGTAGGTGGAAATTCCAAAAATTTTCCTATCTACCCCTGCCCTCCCTTCGCCAGTCACCCCTGTTCCCCCTCCTTTAGTGGCCACGGCCCTAGCCCCGCTTCCTCCACCACCACCACCATCTCTTTGTTCGGGCTGCTTACCTTCCACGGCGGCTGGTCCAGAGTCCAGAAGGCAAGCTGACCGGAGTTTTCGGCGGCCAGTCGCCGCTGCTGAAAAGTGGCTGGCAAGAAGCCTCCCAGCAGCCGCCTCTTTGAGGCGGCTGGCCACAGGCCACTGAAAAGTACTGCAGGTCGAGGAAAAAGCTGCAGCCATCGCCGCCATGTTCTTCGTGCATGCGCATCCCATTGGACTTGCAAGGCTACTTCTGCTGATTGCCGTTTGCCTGCAATTTGTTAGTTCAAATCTCACCAGGCTAAAGGTTGACTCAGCCTTCCATCCTTCTAAGGTAGGTAAAGTGAGGACCCAAATTGTTGGGGGCAATATGCTGACTTTAAACTGCTTAGAGAAGACTGTAAAACACTGTAAAGCGGTATATAAGTTTAAGTGCTATTGCTATTGCTATATTCAGCAGCGCCTTGCCAACATAGAATTTGCCTCTTTGGTAGGGTCATATAAATTGAGTCCTTTTTCCATGCAGGGTACCTAAGATATAGGCTATATAATAGACCTTCTTGGTAGTGGCCCCTCTTTATGGAACAAGCTACTCCTGGAAGGATAGAGAGCTTCATTCCTCTTTGCTTTATAAAAGCAAGTTTAAGTTGTATTATGTTTTGTACAGGGCGTTTGGTCCTTAGTTATGTCTGAGTAGCCATTAGAAGTAGTACCAGGGGTGAAATGCTCCCAGTTCGGATCGGATCGCCCGATCCGGTAACCATGGCAGTGGGTGGTTCGGAGAACCGGTAGCAAAAATCCCTGCCCACCCACCCCACCATGCCCAGCCGAGCCGCACGATCATCAGAGGCTTTTTTTTTTTTTTTACTTTTAAAACATTTTTTTCTGCAACCTCTTCCGGGGAAAAGGTTAAAAAAATGCTTTGAAAAGGCTCTGACGATCCCAGCTGTGTTCCTGATCAGCAGAGACTTTTCAAAGCATTTTTTTGCATTTGCAGAAAAAATGCTTTGAAAAGTTAAAAAAAAAAAAAAAGTTGGCCACGCCCACCCAGTCACATTGCCCTCCCCCACCAAGCCACGCCCACAGAACTGGTAGTAACAAATTTTACATTTCACCCCTGAGTAGTACCACTGTTATTATTATGGTTTGGTTGTAATGTATCTGTAGTGGCTGGGGCAGCCTATAAAAACTGTAATAAAGTAAGTAAACAAATAAATCCTAAATGCTTCAAAATGAATTAAGAAAAGAAATGAGACAATCATGCCAACAGAATTGATCCAAAAGCTTAACTTGCTACTGTATGATTGAAACAATCACATTACATTTAGGTGTTAAGAAAAGTGGTAAAAAAGAGAAAATATTACTTCCCTGGTAAATGGCTGCTTCTATACAGTGGTGGGATTCAAATAATTTAACAACCGGTTCTCTGCCCTAATGACAAGCTGGGTAGGTGTGGCTCGGTGGTCATGTGACCGTGTGGGCATGGCCAACTCAACGTCACTCACATCGATGGGCGCTTCGCCTTAGCAATTACAATGTAATAAGGGTTAACCAGAGAGGCAGTTTCTGTAAGCAGGGCAATGAAGATTAGGCTAGAAACAACACCAGAATGTTTCCTTCCTGCCTTCCCTACAGGATTAGCCCTGTAAAGTGGAAAAAAACAAAATAAGATTTCTTCCAACAAATGGTTCTCCGAAATGCTTAGTAAGTTAACAACCGGTTCTCCCGAATAGGTGCGAACTGGCTGAATCCCACCACTGGTTCTATATGTTTTGGCTTTAGGAGACTACTGCAATTTATTTTTCACTCCAATGGGTAGAGTTAGATCTCTTCTACCTGCACACCTCCATTGACGCCCAGCCCCTCCAAAATTATAACAGGCTCCTTATAAATAAGAAATCCCTAATACTTTTCTGGTCTGCTTGTTTTTAAAATTGACAGTGGAAGCTTTTCCTACTAACTTCAAGAGGTATGCTTTTATGACCAGCAGGGAAGGGGTGGGGTTGTTCATGTTAAAAGCTCCCTTTAGAAATCTTCACCCTAGAGATGGACGAGACAGGAGCGCTTTCCTGTGTCTAAATATTGTACAGATTCAGAAGAAAAGACCTGGATTCACTAGAATTTGTGGCTGTTAATGGCTTGTTAAAAGTTGAGATTTTGATCAAAATGATTTTACTGGTTGCTTTTTAACAATTAACTTGTGCCCGAGGAAGAAAGTCTTGCCAGAAAACAAATGCACGAGGCATGAAGCACTTGAGAGGGAATTGTCTGGTGAGCAGTGTCTTCGCTAGGATAGTTGGTCTGTTGATTCTTTTTGGAGGGACCATCTTACCCTTCCCCCCTCCTTCTCTCATTGCAGGAAACCAGATGCTGCAGTGGAGATGGATGAGATGATGGCAGCAATGGTGTTAACCAGCTTATCCTGTAGTCCTGTGGTGCAGAGCCCCCCTAACAATGAGGCCAGCATCTCAAGTAAGTTTGACAGCAAAGGGCCTCTGATGGCCCTCTGGCATTCTGTGCCAAAACAAAACTGGTTTAGTGCATAGCTCATGCAGTGCAAGCACTGAGGCCACAATAGCTTAGCTGTATCAGCCCAATTTTTTTTTTTTTTTTGCTTTAATTTATATGCTGCCCTTCTCCGGAGACTCAGGGTGGTTTACAATGTTCTCCAGTTGTTGGAACACAAGTTCCAGGATTCTGCCATGCTGTCTGCTGATTCTGGATATGACAGTCCCAGCACATTTGGAGAATGCCAAGCTGTGAGTGATTATTTGGAACACAGACATTTCAATATCTGCTTTTTCCTGAATACACAGACCTGAGAATTTAGGCTACCCACAAAAATACCTTAGCAATTCTTTTTTTTTTTTTTTTTTTTTTTTGAGGCAACAATATGGGCAATCCAGAACTGGAAAATTAGGCTAATGTGCCCAGAGCAGTTTTCAGCTTATATCAGAAAACTTTCTGATTAAAAAGATAATTCAAATGAGTCCGATTAAGAAAATTTCCATTAATTGTAGATTTCCACCCTGTAACAATGATTGAATAGAGTCTCTTTATTTTTTTAAAAAAAGAAGTTAAGAAAACTTCTGTATTTCAATTGGAAGTATTTTAATTCTGTTGAAAAGCCTTTTTTGGGGTAAGCGTTATTGATACTTGTTGACTTTTAATTGTTTAGCCATTTTGTAACTCCATTTTGGAAGTTGTATAAAAGAGAAAATGGCACAAATAGAAGGAGTAGAATAGCATTAAGTGCCTTGGCCAACACAGAGACTGTTCAACTCAGCTTTCAGGCAGATCCAACTTTTCTGCTCTACTTCTTTGGTCTTTTGGGTTTCTTGGCTATCTGCCTCAAATCTGTGTTTCTAAAGCACTCATTTCTTTCTAACTTTCTTCCTATTAAATGGCTCACATATCTCTTTCTTATGTCCTGGACAAGCTTTTCTCAAAAGTAGGCCATACCCAGGGGTGCTATTCAGTAGGTTCTCACACGTTCTGGAGAACCGGTAGTGGAAATTTTGAGTAGTTTGGAGAACGGGCAAATGCCACCTCTGGCTGGCCCCAGAGTGGGGTGGAAATGGAGATTTTGCAATATCCTTCCCCTGCCATGCCCACCAAGCCATGCCCACCAAGCCATATCACACCCACCAAGCCACACTCACAGAACCAGTAGTAAAAAAAATTGAGTTCCACCACTGGGCCATACCCAGTTCAGATCCAGAATTTTATTCCAGCTGTGAGGTTTAAGAACGAAGTGTCCATCATAGTAAACCAAGTCCCCTTTTGATACCTTCTGTGTTCTACCAGATTTTCCCTCTTCTCTCTCTGCCATGATTTTACTAAACCCTTTTGCCTGGGAATTCTGGCTCTCTTATGTACTTAGCATTCCACATGTTCCCGAACTCTTGAAGATCTGCTCCAACATATCCTGACATAAAGTGTGTCTGTTAATAATTGTCTGGTGAACTGTTTTAAGAGTTGCAGAATTGGGGATAAGGAAAGATGGCGTATGGGGCACTTTTTGCAGTCCTTGTTCCTTTTGATGAAGTATACATGAGCAAGTTTCCCCGGAGATTGTCCCCGGTTATTGAGTTCTAGCACTTAAGGAGAATATCTTCTGTGCTAGAACTGGCTTCTGACACCTCCTTGATGCTCAGCGGTTTCTGCTGCAAAACACATTGAAATGCTCTTCTTCCTTGGCTCCTAAGAAAACGAGAAAGGGATTTTTTAAATATTATTTTTATTATCTTTCTCTTGCTTCCAGTATAGGAAAAGGCTGACTTGAGGACATGTTCTATGTGAACAGCCTGAACATACTTGGAATGTTCAGTCTGAAGAAAAAAAGACTTAGGGGAGGCATAATAACCAAGTTCGGATAGTTAAAAGGAAGATGGCCATGAATGCTTCTCCATGGCTGCAGAAACCTGGCCCACAAATAATGTATATTAGTTGTAGCTATCTAGATTTCAGTTAAACATAAGGAAACACTTGATGGTAAAATTTATACAATAGGAAAGTAGCTCAAAGGTGGAAGTAGTAGTTTCTCCATCTCTAGAGAATTTTAAGATGTTGGATAGCTGCCTCCTAGTTTAATTGATCTTTGTGCAAATTGACGGTTAGGGACAGAGGTGGGTTTCAGCTGGTTCTGACCAGTTCTGGAGAACCGGTAGTGGAAACTTTGAATAGTTCGGAGAACCGGTAAATACCACCTCTGACTGGCCCCACCCCCATCTATTCTCTGCTTCCCAAGTCCCAGCTGATCTGGAGGAAATGGGGATTTTGCAGTAACCTTCCCCTGGATTGCGGAGGGAATGGAGATTTTACAGTATCCTTCCCCTGCCACACCCACCAAGCCATGCCCACCAAGCCATGCCACGCCCACAGAACGGTAGTAAAAAATTTTGAAACCCACCACTGGTTAGGGACTTAGGGTTCTTTAGACCTTCTGGCTGGGGAATTCCACCCACATACTTTAAAGTTGCTCAGTTTGAAAAGAGGTGGTCTCTTTCAACTCTGTGATTCTTTCATTTTCCTGAGTGGCTGTTTCCATTTGCCATATCCCTTACCTCTTGGCTCCTGTTTCAAAGCCTGAAGATAAGGATTTAATCGTGCTATGATGTATGAAAACCAGCACAACACTTGTGGGATATGTAGAGAAAATATACTGGAATATTGATATGCCTCTATGAAATGAGGAAGGTGTGGTTCCCATAGGTAGGCTGCTGTTTGCACCTAGTTGGGTAGCTTCACAAATCACCAGAAGAACGCCCACAGGTAGAGGCCAGTTCATAGACTCTGTTGGATGTGTATAAACCTTCTTGAATCTCCCTCCCCCACCCCCATTCTTTAAACTTTTGTCCCTCTTTTTTTTTAAAAAATCAATTTCTGATTTTATGGGGGCTAGAATCCCGGAGTGGGGGCTGTAAACTCAGCATGTTATATGTCAGAGGAAAGAAGTCAATACTGATTGGCTGATATTCTTGGATAGATTGTGGTCAGAGGTGGGTTTCAGCAGGTTCTGACCAGTTCTGGAGAACCGTTGGCAGGAATTTTGAGTAGTTCGGAGAACCAGTAGTAAAAATTCTGACTGGCCCTGCCCCCATCTATTCTCTGCCTCCCAAGTCCCAGCTGATCAGGAGGAAATGGGGATTTTGCAGTAACCTTCCCCTGACACACCCACCAAGCCACGCCCGCCAAGCCACACCCACAGAACCAGTAGTAAAAATTTTTGAAACCCACCACTAATTGTGGTGGTATTCAGGGAGCTGAACTAATTCTGTGGCTGATTTGAATTGTGAGTTGCCTAATAAACCTTCTCCTAGTTTGATTTTTTTTGAATTCCCAGCCTAGCCTGCAGTCCTAATACTTCCCGATGCTTCTCTATCAAAATACTAGTAAGTTTAAATACTTAGCTTTTTGAACGCTACTACCTATCTTGGCAGGGGTCCCCAAGTGTAGGGATGGGATTGTGAGGAAAGACTGGTAGGTGGGAAAAGGGTACTGCCCCACCCCCTCTTTCAGACCACCAAATCTCTTTAAATATCCTTTTGCCTACTAGGTTTGATCCAAATTCAGTGTTTTTGCCATCTCATATTTACTCAAGCTATAATTACAAAGTAGGAAGGAGATCATGGAGAACTTTTCTTGCAAAATTGTCTGTGAGAAGCCTGTAAGTAGAATCCCTTGAGACTGGCTGTTTGTGGCCAGCAGTAAAACCTTACCTATAATCCCTCCAGCACACCCAGCCATTGGAGAACTGCTAGGAAAACAGCTGGCTGGATTAGGAATGGTGTCTGCAGTCCCCAGTGGAGGGAGGGGGTTGTGTAATCCAACCCCTGGCTGCCGTTTCCAGTTGGATGCCCAGACCTATTACAGGAGTAATAGGCACCAAGAAGAGCCAGTGTCTTTATATGGAGGCACTTCCCATAAGCCTCTTTGGACCCTCTGTGTGTCTATTTAAAAATAGGAGCCTTCCAGTGTGGGAAATGCAGGTGCTTCGCAGTCAACTAGGGCAGCCAGGCCTGTCGTATGTCTGGATGCTGGACTGGCACTGAAGGTGTGAAAAGGTCTTCTGAAACTGAGAAGAGGGGGAATATCCTGTGGCTTTTCCTGTCATTCCCTACCCGATTCCAATTTCATAGAGAAATATTATATTTGAAAATATGAATTCATCTTGATTGAATTCAGCGGAACTTTATCTCAGAAAATGTTTATAGGACTGTAATCTCAGTAGGTGGCAGAATTTTGTAAATTTACTCTGAGTTGGAAGCTAAGCAGGGTTGGGCCTGGTTAGTACTTTAAAGGGAGGCTGTCAGGGAACACCAGGGAGGTATAGGCTAGACTGGAAAATCCACACAACATCCTGGAAGTGGCAATCCATGTCAGGGATGGGGAACCATGGCCCTTGGCTCATGTCATAAAGCAGGGGTCTCCAAACTTGGGACCTTTAAGACTTGTGGACTTCCAACTCCCAGAACTCTCCAGCCAGCATGCTTCCCCACCCCTGCTCTATGTAAAAGTGATGAAAGTGCTAAACTGAATAGAGAATCAACTAAACTGCTCAAGAGCTCAATAAAACCACGATTCACCTGTTTATCCTCTCATCTTATCTTCAGCATCCCAAGCAACCTGTGATGCCTGGAAAGAAAGTGGTGACATGTCAGATGGCGGGAGCAGTACCACAAGCGGGCACTGGAGTGGCATCTCCACTCCTTCTCCCCCACACTCAGAGGCCAGCCCCAAGTACTCAAACGAGGCCTTCAGTTCCCCACGGGCTGATGATGGCTTTGAAACTGACTCGGATCCCTTTCTCTTCGAAGAGCCTGCTCCAAGGAAAAGGAAGGTACATAATACGACCATAAGACGAATTGTTCCATAGAAGGCGCAGGTCTAAATGTAGATTTCTCCCTATCCGATCAAGAAAGAAAACTATCTACACAACACTGCCGTTCCAGAATTTGTATTTTTACTATCAGAGCTACATCATTACTGTTTCTATCCACTCCATTAATTCCTGTTTAATTATTTGTTAGGACTTTGCTGGCTTTCCTCTCAAGATCTTATATTGTGTATAGCCCTTTCCCTTCAAGTTTTTCACCTAAACAACATCCTATGAGTAGGTGGGCCTGAGAGACAAGTAACTTCCATGCCTGAACCTGGGATTTCCAAGTCCTAGTTTAACACCTTAACCATGATACTATCCTAATTCTCATTTTTATTAGCAACTGTTTTAACTCTGATAGGCTAACAGTGGAAATGTATTAATTTTGATGTGAATAGGACTTGTTTTGCATGTCACTTTGATTTTTTTTAGAAAGTTGATATAAAACTGAGCCATCTTTTGTTGAATTGTTAACTTCAACAGAATCAAGAGAAGAATGAAGTCAGGAGTGTCAAATTCGCGGCCCATGGACCGGATGCGTCACATGCTGGCCATGCCCACCTCTGGTTTAGCAAAGGGGGAAAAAGTTGTGATATGTCACATGATGACAATGTGATGCCACGAATTTGATACCCCTGAATAAAGCGGTGCTGTCACCAACAGTTAAGAATTCTGAAAGGTTAGGTTTTGCACAACTTATATATGGCCATGAATTGACTTAGAGTTGTTTTTCTTCTAGAATTCAGTGAAAGTGATGTACAAATGCTTGTGGCCCAGCTGTGGCAAAGTCCTTCGCTCCATTGTTGGAATTAAGAGGCATGTGAAGACCCAGCATCTGGGGTAAGGCCTTAAATTGCAGTTAAGTCACATTTGCACAGTTATATTGGAAAAGATCACCAGTAGATATAATTATACAGTATTTCAAAACAGTAACTGGAGTGGGGATAATTTGATGCCAAATCTGGACTTTTGGTGGGCTTCTTCCAAGATGATCCTCATGAATGGTTGCTGGAGAGTGAAATCAGAGCCTAACGAGGGACTTAAGGTGGATTTTGGTGTACTGCTGATGATGATTCTTGTCCCTGATGACCATGAAAAAGGAGGTGGCTGGGGTCCCCATTTTTATTCCAGTAGTGAATAAAATGGGTTTATTGGTGTTTGCCAGTCACCCCGTTATAATGTGCCTTTCCTTTATGAGGCTGCAAAGATGATAACGATGAGTAACTTACTGAGTCAAGTTCAGGCTCTGGATATAAAGTTCACTTTATTTGGAAAGGCCCAAATCAGAGATAATTACTGATTTGAGGTTGGACACATTTGGAATGTTGAAAGGAGGTAGCGATGCTTACAAAATATTTGCTGTGGTGTGCGCAGCTAGTCACAAAGCACTTATTTACCACAGGGCTGATGGTTGCAGGAGCTTCATGGTATCTCAGAATGGGTGTTAGAATGCTTAGTTCTTTCTTTTTGTGTGGGGCTGTTGGACGCAATTCTAAACAAAATATGATATATTTATCCACTCCTGATTGTCTGTGAGATTTGAAAATGCCAACTTTTCAATTGAGTTAAAAACTCAAGTGAAAAAGGCGAATTAAATCGAAAATGAAGTTAACACTAAACTTAACTCAGTTGGGTTAAAATTGAAAATTTTAAGAAAGAAAAGGGGTAGGTGGGTTGGACATAGGGAGATGCCATGTGGGTTGTTTGCAAGCATATTATCTGCCCTCGAGATACTTGATCGTGTTCAGCATTTTTTGAATCATCTTCTCTGATGTGATAGGGTTATATTTATTGGGAATTCCTGGAAGAGAGCTCTGGTAGGCAGTCATTTATTTCAAGTTGGCCTGGGTTTTTTTTTTTTTTTTTTTTGGTGAGTTAGAGAATATAATTTAGTCTGGATTTGAGCATTGCCAACTACTTTCTCTGGCTTGAATGCAGTCTTGGTTACCTGGCTAAAAATGACTGATCCGTGTTTGATATTTGCTGTATGGTTGTGGGGCCCTCTTGCGGGGAGAATTGGTTATGTTTTTTCCATCTTTTTAAATATCTTCTTTTGCTTTCAATGATCTTTAGTTCTGTTGAGTTTTGCTTCTTCAGTTAACTTTTCCCTCGTTGATTTGTTCTTTTAGCAGATGAATTATTTTAATAGTGCATAATACCAGAGAAGCTCAGATGATAAAATTATTAATGGAGTTAGATGAGAGTTTTGCAGTCCACAGGGGGAAGGTCTGCATTCACCAGATAATTGTTCTGATCCAAAAGTCTTTGCACCAAAAAGGGATCAAGTGTACCTGAAAAATTATTTCCATCTTATTGCATCTGTTGCAGCAGATGGACTTAGTTCTGCATTCTTTCCTTTGCTAGTCTATGAGCAGAATATTACCCTGAAATAAAGACTTTATGGGATTCCATGAAACAGTCCTTGGTTCTGCTGACAAATGTAGAAGAATTTCAGAATTTGCCAGAAAATGTGTCTCCATCTCAGTGGACAAAGGAGGATTGGCAGAGTTGATAAGAGAGATGCTAGAGATGGTATTAACTTGTCTACTTTGGGGTTGTAGATATGAAAATTCACCAGATAAGATGTTCCTCTACTTTTACATTCAGGGACAAAACCCCTGGATCAGGGGTGTTAAACTTGCAGCGTCACATTGTCGTCATGTGATGTATCATGACTTCCCCCCCTTTGCTAAACCACGGGTGGGCGTGGCCAACGCCACAAGTTTAACACCTTGCCCTAGATTGTTTCAGCTTTTATAACAAAACACTGGAAAATGTTATTTGGGAGTTATTTTATTTATTCTATATCTCCTTCTTTCATCAATGCCTGCAGAGATGGTGCCAACTCTGACCAGAGAAAACGAGAAGAGGATTTCTACTACACTGAGATGCAAGTGAAGGAGGAGGCACTTCCGGAGTCTTTAGTAGTTGCTCCCAATCCCACTGCAGGTTCCTCTCCTATTGTCATCCAACAAGCTGCCTCTCAGCCAGAAGCTCTCATTCTGGATCAGGCAACCCCCTTGGAGCCTCATCTGCCTAGCAGTGCCCTCAGCCAGTCGGCCCCCAGTTCTTTCTGGCACATCCAGGCTGACCATGCATACCAGGTAAGTCAATGCCCACCTGTGCCCCAGTGTTAAGAATCTGTATTCCTCCTGAATACAGGAGTTTAGAATTCTGTGGAATTGTTCACCTAATAAATAAAACAGCCCCTCAGTTAATGATTGGGTAGTTAAGTGGCAGGATTGCAGTTCTAAGAGTGGATGATTTGAGTGTCAAATAAAGAATGCAATTACCTTTCTAAGCATTCGTATTCTATTCTGTTCGCTTATACTTTGGGGCAATATGTTAGAGAGCAGTGTTAATAATGCATTGTTAATGTGTTCATCCTGTAAAGAACAGTAAAGGGATTGGGTATGGTTAGCTTAAAGCGAAGGAGGCTAAGGGAAAACATGATAGCATTTTTTTCATACTTGAAGGCCTATCATGGGGAAGAGAGTATGGATATATTTTCCAAAGTGCCTGAGAGCAGGGCAAGAACCAGTGAAAGCGCTACGGAGAGAGATTCAGCTTTGAAATAAAGAGTAGTTTCCTGTCCATGAGAGCTATTAAGCAGTGGACAGCATGAATCCTGGCGTGATTGCACCATCTTTGAAGGTTTTTAAATAAATCCAAAAATAAATATTTTTAAAAAATAAATAAAAATAAGAAATACATAAAAATAAGCTCAAAGCTCCTGTATTTAGGACAAGAAGCAATGGGTGGAAACTAATCAAGGAGAGAAACAACCTAGAACTAAGGAGAAATTTCCTGACCATTATAACAATTAATCAGTGGAACAACTTGCCCCCAGAAGCTGTGGGTGCTCCAACACTGGAGGTTTTTAAGAAGAGATTGGACAACTATTTGTATGAAATAGTATAGGGTTCCTACCTGAGCAGGGGGTTGGACTAGAAGACCTCCAAAGCCCCTTCCAACTCTGTTATTCTGTTAAACATTGAACAGCTTTTTGTTGAGATGGTTGAGGATTCCTGCACTGAGTAGGGGGTTGTCTAAAAGATTTCCAATGTCCTTTTTCTAACACTATGTTTTCAAGTGTTGAGAAAATTCACAGAAAGTGAACATAAAATGCTCTTCATTTCTTAAGACAGACATTTTTCTCTACTTAGGCTCTGCCATCTATTCAGATTCCTGTATCCCCGCACATATTCACCAGCATTAGCTGGGCTGCTGCAACCTCAACCATCCCCACTCTCTCACAGGTGAGTTTCACATCTTTATACTACTAAAACTCTCCTCATGACCTTTAACTGGGTAAAGTGGTACATCACAGGGCAATAATTTTTGAACCAAGGAACCACAAGTGGATTAACTTTAAAAGTATGCATTCAAAATCTGGGATCCGTGACTCCTGATGGAGTGAAATTTGAGAAAGTTATGGCTGCGTCAGTGCTACTGGCTGCTGGTGCTGCTGGGCTACTGCAGTCACATGACCTTCATCAATTTTCAACATTCTGTAACAGTTTCCAAGCCAGTCTTACAATCCCTTGCTCCCTCCCCCACCCAGCAGCAGCCACAAGTCTGCCTGCTGGAAAAAGAGACCGGGGCGGACAAGGAAAGAAGGAAGGAAGATTTCCAATTCTCCCTACCAGATTCCCACAAGGAATCTCAATGGGGAATTCAATTAGAGATCAGGTGACATTACTGCTCCCATTACTTTTGTGACTGCCCTTCATCATCATTGATGGAGAGAAGGACTAGGGGAGACATGATAGCAGTGTTCCAGTATCTCAGGGGTTGCCACAAAGAAGAAGGAGTCAAACTATTCTTCAAAGCACCTGAGGGTAGAACAAGAAATAATGGGTGGAAACTAATCAAGGAGAGAAGCAATTTAGAACTAAGGAGAAATTTCCTGACAGTTAGAACAATTAATAAGTGGAACAACTTGCCTGCAGAAGTTGTGAATGCTTCAACACTGGAAATTTTTAAGAAGATGTTGGATAACCATTTGTCTGAAGTGGTGTAGGGTTTACTGCCTGGGCAGGGGGTTGGACTAGAAGACCTCCAAGGTCCCTTCCAACTCTGTTATTCTATTCTATTCTATTCTATCATGTTTCGGTAAGGAAACCTGTCTGAAATGACAACCCAATGGGACACAAGTTTTATTTACTTACCTACTTATTTATTATTAAATTGATTTGCCGCCCATCTCATGTCCAATGACTCTAGGATCTAGAAAGTTGTCTGGGTATATACCTAAGGAGAGAATCTGGATTAGTTCAGAACATTGTTTCAGAAATATATTAACATGTACTTGGTGGGTGGCATGTTCTGAGAAAGCTGTGGTTTTTTAAAGATCCCTTTATGCATGATTATCTTACGAAATTTGCTACCACAAATTAAAAATAGATTTTCTTTTTTCTGTATGAGCAAACAGAAAAGTTCAGCTGCCTGAAAAAAAAGTCCCTTCTCTCCCAAAATAAGGCATTTGTAAACAAAATGTTTCCAAAGTAGCCAATCCAAGACAAGGGGGGTGGTTAGTTTCTAAAACTTTGAACTCTGGTTTGAATTGAACTGAGAGAGAAACATAGAAGTCAACTAGAGAGGGAGAATCTATCAGTTAAAAGTATGATGTAGCATTCATCAAATAGTGTGATCCTTCTGAGATCGGTAAAATGAGGACTCAGATTGTGGGGGAAATGTGCTGACTCTGTAAACTGCTTAGAGATGGCTATAAAGCAGTATATGAGTTGAAGTGCTATTGCTATGGAGGGAGTGGAGGTCAGCTGCAAATGTTCAGAAGGTGAAAAAGGAGATCTAATCAAATTTTTGTCAGGTTATAGCAGCCTTGTGCAATTTGGAAAGTGTTGCCCAGAACTTCAGTTTTCCAATTCTCTGAATCCTAAAATTCTAAAGGGTGCTGAATTGGGAAAGGCAAATGGGAGAAGGGATCTTTCCAATAAAATACCACTTCTTATTTCTTCTCTACATACCTACCCCTATAGCCTCTGCATCAGGGGTGGGTTCTACTTAACTTTACTGCCGGTTCACAATGGGATTGCGCGCTCGCTTCGTTTGCTCGCGCGCCTTCTGCACATGCGCAGACCGCTGCTGACGACATCCGGGGCAGGGGTGGGGCCTTCTGCCAGTTTTACTACTGGTTCTTGTGAACCGGTCTGAACCGGGGCCAATCCACCACTGCTCTGCATGGTGAAGGCACATTTCACATGAAAATAAATGCAAAAGGAAATCTCCTTTTTTTTCACTCTTCAAACTGATTGCTTCCTTCTTACATAGCTGTGAAAAACTTACATTGGGGATTGTGGCCAATAGAAGAGAAAATGAGAATTAAAAGGAATATCTGTATTGAGAAGCAGCATACCTCAAAAATAATAGCAGCTTGGGTTCTTCCCGGAAGTATCACCTTGAAAAAAAGAATGCTGAACTAGATAGAGTTTCTATAATCCAGCAGGGCACCAGTTCTTTGGAAATTGGTATTTTTATTTTGATATTTTTAAGAAGAAAATGCCGTAGAGGTAATTAAATAAGACATACTTTTAGCAAGTTTACAACCTGAATAGAAAAACCTTTTAAAGTCTTTTTAGGCACCCACCCATAATCATTTAAAGCATAATAATAAAACCCAAATAAATCAAAAGGGTTTTGTTTGCAGGTTCGAAGCCGGTCTTTGAGTTTCAGTGAACAGCCACCCCCGCCTCCGGTGCTGAAATCCCAGCTGATTGTTGCATCCCCCCCAAGAGCACCCAGTGGCACTAGGTAAGACCTGGAGAAGACAGACTGAGGTATTTCAAGAAGGGCTGGGAAATAGTAGATTTCAGATATGGTCAGAAAGGAAAATGTGGGGGGATTGTTCTTTAGAAGTTTTGAACATGTGCTGTTGGCTTGGGCTCAGAGGAAAGAGCATTCTGCTTGAAATTTTGGCTGTCTCCTGCCAGAAGAAGTAGACAAGCATGGGCTGAAGGTTCTTTTTAGATCAGAGGCCTGATTGAACTTAAGGCAGATTTGTATGTTTGGTCATTTTTAGCCGAGGCAAAATGTCCAGATTCATATCTGGGTTTCATAGGACTAGGGTTCATAGGGTTCATAGGACTAGGGGAGACATGATAGCAGTGTTCCAATATCTCAGGAGCTGCCACAAAGAAGAGGGAGTCAAACTATTCTGCAAAGCACCTGCGGGTAGAACAAGAAGCAATGGGTGGAAACTAATCAAGGAGAGAAGCAACTTAGAACTAAGGAGAAATTTCCTGACAGTTAGAACAATTAATCAATGGAACAACTTGCCTGCAGAAGTTGTGAATGCTCCAACACTGGAAGTTTTAAAGAAGAGATTGGATAACCATTTGTCTGAAATGATATAGGGTTTCCTGCCTGGGCAGGGGGTTGGACTAGAAGACCTCCAAGGTCCCTTCCAACTCTGTTATTCTATGGTAGAAGAAATGCTCCTGAATCATGCTCACGTGACTTGGGAAACTGTGAGGGTGACAGCTTTAAAGACTCGTCATAAATTTCCTTTTTCAGCACCGTTTTAATTATGAATGGTCACTGAACGAGTATATGAACTCACGGTACACAAGAATAGGCTCCATTGCAAGTTCTTGGCTATTTAACAAGAGCCTTTTTGTGGCTGGGACAGAACAGTAGCTCTCAAGATCTACGGCTGGAAGGCCCCAGGTTCAGCCCCAGGGTTTGTATCAGATGAGGGAGACTTAATTGCTCAGTAGCTATGTATATTAATTGGTTTTCTGTCTTTTATTTTCTCTAGGAAAGTCCGTGGCGAAGCCAAGAAGTGCCGCAAAGTTTATGGCATCGAGCACCGAGATCAGTGGTGCACAGCCTGCCGGTGGAAAAAAGCATGCCAGAGATTTTTGGACTGAGAAGGATGTATTTGCATTCACACCCCTTTCTGGTGGGAAGGCTCAGCGGTCTCTCTCTCTCTTGCAGTTACCCAAGAGCAAAATAGCCAGATCTCTGTATTTTGGCCACATCCAGGGCTCTGTCGTCTTGGAAGCAATTCCTGGTGCTTTGGCAGAAATCTCGCGAGCCACGTGTTTATCCCAAGCTCTGTATAGTCTACGTCTGCCAGGTTTTCTAACGTTCAGTGTTTTGTGGGAAAGCTTTTTCTACACGATTTTTTCTTTTTTCTTTTTTTTTAAATGACAAATAACACAGCCTCCCTTACTATCTGTAAATAAGGAGGACAAAGGAAAAAAAAAAAAAGCTGATTGCTTGATCTATCTTACAGACTTGTTTCTAGGTGGGTCCAGGGACCAAAGAACTTTGATCTGTTCCCCGGTATAGGGTGAGGTTGGCTGTGTGGTTGGATCAATTACTGCAATATGGAGGAGAGAAGCAACTGTTTCACCTCCCCTGAAGTCACGTAACCATTTAGAGAGTGCAAAAGGAGGAACAGGAAGGGAACTATTAGCAGATGAGGACAGTTACTCTACTAATGGACACTCTGTTTCCCTGTTAATCCTCGGATGCCCGCACAGGAATTAGCCATTTGCATCCTTAATGAGCACTGCTTTTTATTTTGTTTTCTTTAGTTGCTGTTGGGAAACAATCATTGCTTTAAATTGCAAGACCCAAATTCCAAATAACCCTGAAGTGGAAGGAACATAAACATAATCTGAATTTTCTTAGCAAGTGTAAACCCCAAAACAAATGCATTTTGTAAGGGTCTTAGAACTATTGACTGATGTAACTGGTGGTTTAAGATGCATCTTGAGCATCCACAATGCAACTTTTATTATCTGGATACCATAGTAACATCACAATCTCCCCATTTCCACTCTACTAGGTGGCAGGCAGTAAATTAAAGTTCTTCATACCGTATTTTTAAGCAAGAATCTGGGTCAGTCTTGGCTTTCCCAACAGTGGGAATGTTTTCTGGAGTATGAATTTGACTTGTGCATATCACATTTTTAGTGATACAGCTGGGATCCCCCACCCCTTTACAACTGTGCATTCTTCTGTCTTTTTTAATTGGCTCCCCAAATCAAGCCTATCTTCCAGAGAAGAAATAGATGTGTAATTATTTCATTGGGTTTCCTATGAATGGTAACGTGTTTGGACACTTTCATTTCTCTTCTAATTATCGTAGGAGCCAACAGGTAATGAGCAAAGTAGCAAAGCACATAAAACCCCATGATTATGCTCTTCCTTCCTCTTCAGGGTCAGCCGACCTTATGCCAGCAGTCTAAACCTTTGAACACCAAGTGAAGCAGCATTCCAAGTTTTGCATATGAGAAAGCCTGAGCTGTTTTGTAGGGCATGCTGGTCCATGTTCAGTTTCTTGGAATGCCCATTTATTTTGCCCTGCCGCCCCATTCATTGTTTCCATCCCATCTTTCTGGCCACTGAGTGATCCTAGATCCATAGTCTATAGTCCCAGTCTCTCAGGATGTAGTTAGAAGAGAAAGAAATTGGAAATTGGGAGGAACACAGAGATATGCTGGAAATAGCACTTGAAGACAAGCCAACATTGTCTTAGAATTGATTGGGATTTGATGAGTACAATTTTCAAAGATACTTGAGTCATCTGAGGAAAAAATGAGCATTTTCCAAATTTGTTTGGGGGGGATTGAAATAATAACCAATAATTCCATCATTATAAACTTGTATTTCCTTCATGATCTATTGGCCTCAAAACCCTGAAAAATTGTAATAATCTATCCCCCCACCAAATTTCTGACTAACTATTCTTGTTATAACTGAATTTGGGTTAAACTACAGTGAGAGACAGTGGAATTGGAAATGGTTGCCTGCTCTCCCAACATACTTGTTTTGCCTTGACGCTTAATGTTGGTTGTATCATCTACACAAGGAACTGTGTAAATCCAAAGTATGTTAGCCAAGCTGTACAATTATTCCTTTCAATTTTCTGTGATTAGCATGTATATGTTAGATTCATATAGACAGATTTCCTTGCAAATATTGTCTGTCTCTCTCTCTCTCTCTCTCTCTCTCTCTCTCTCTCTCTCTCTCTCTCTCTCTCTCTCTCTCTCCCTCCCTCCCTCCCTCCCTCTCTCCCTCTCTCTCTCTCTTTCTCTCTCTCTGGTTATCTGGTGGCATGAAGGTAGGCCAGGCAGGATCTCAGTAGGCTGGGGGAATACAGTCCAATAAACCAAGTATTAGATGGATGTTGCAATGGGTGGTAGTTAGCCATATGCCATCAACATAATAGGCAGGGCTGAACTTCTGAGGCAATTGGGTATTTTAAGGAGTATTATGGGTGCCTTGGCATCTGTTGGCCTAAGCCATGCATTTCTTTCCTTAAATTTCCCAAATCAGTTAAAATGGATCTGAATTTTTCAGCCCTGCCATGCAGGAGGGTGGGGGCTCTCAGGGCTGCAGATGATGTGTTGGAGGTGTGTGGAAGTTTACATTCAAAGTTGGCAAACTCAAAAATGCATGATCATAGGTGGTGCAATGCTGCTTCAGTGGCAAGCCTAATTAAATTTGATGGCTAGCTTCACCATGGAAGTCATTGTCATGCTATCAAAGAGCCATCAGTTTGGCTGATGGGGAAATCCGTTCCTCCATTTTGGAAGTCATGTGGCTTGGTTTGTTTTCATTTTGGAGATGTAAAATGGCAACACCAATAGTAATGATAATGGAAATGGAAAATGAGGTATATTGTTAGGTATTTACATTGTTTTGAAATTGGTTCTCTGCCTCTTTTCTCCCCTTCCCCGAAGCGTTTTGATAATCATGAGCCATAAACTAAAGAGATAAGCCTCTCTGTGTAAAATAGTAACTGAACTATATGTCTTGGAGAATTATAATTTCCTTATATAAAAATGTGAGCCCTTTTATCTTTCTTTGAGGGTACTTTAAGGGATGGGTGGAAGAGTTTGAAAAGGAATTATGTATATTTTTGGGGCTTGTTGATTGCTTTTTTTTTTTTTTTTTTTTGTAATCTTGTGCATAATATTCACAGTATGTCAGATTTTATTTTTGTAGCCTGGACATCGGATAGATGCTTAACTGATCTTGTAATTAGTTACAAATTAATTTGTACAAATTGCAAATTAATTTTTTGAAAATTAAAATCAAACTCAGATTTATATAGTGCAAATTCTGAATAGGGAATTTGGGAATATTGACGTTCAGATAAGAGGTATTACAATTGAAGCTTCAGGTTTATAATCAAATGTGGGATTTTTAAAAATGCATTGCTTGGGTCACAATAGTCTGATTTCAGTGAAAATGTCTTGGAACTTAAAAAATGAGGAGCTTGGCTTTGAAAATCATGCCCCATGCCAAAATACACATCATTTGCAACTTCCAAGCTAGAGCCATTCATGTTTGGAGGTTTGGGGCAGTGCAATTGCTTTTTTTTTTAATGGACTAAACTATAAAACATAAAACACTTGGGAGATCTGTTGGAGTCGATTCCTATAACTCCTCTTAATGAAAAGAGAAAATATTAAAAATACATAAATGGGCAAGGACTTTGAAATCGTTCACTTTAATGATAGCACTGCATTGCTCTGATTTTCTATGGCTATCTGAGGCTTAAAATATTTTTTAAAAGGGAGATTTTGGCTGTTTTCTGTGGCTGCCTTCCTTGAAGCTCTTCTTAGTAACTCTCTGGGTGGAGTGTCTTATAGACCAAAGCAATAATATGCAAAGCCAATCTGTTGCAGGTTGACGATCTCCAAATAATTCTTAGTGGGAACCTGTGAATTTCAAAGCCATTTCTCCTCAAATTCCAAGACAAGTAAGGCTCCAATTTGACATTGAAAATTGAGTATTTGAGAACTAGGCTTGATTAAAATTCAGTCCCCCAAAGTAACGTTAAAGTTTGAAAATCCCAACATTTTTAACTGCTCCTTCTGCTTTAGCCATCCTGGTATGGGTGGATCCTTGTATCAGAGTAAAATTGTTTCTTTTCTGATTTAGGAGTGGCATCTCTCAATTTCGTGTTGAATCAGGAGAGAGTACCGGTAGTCAACGAGTATCTTCAAATTGAGATTTAAAGATCAGTTTCTTCAGTGGCAAAAGTCTGGGTCTTATGCTTACAAAAAGCAAGGTTTTGGGGGGTGGGGCGGGGGGGGGGTAGCTGTTGTTAGACTGTGATTAAAAAGTTCTGGGGAGAAAAGGCCCTATAAAAGAATAAGCAGTGAAACACTGAAGCCTCTGGAACAATGTTTCTTATCCTTGGCTACTTTAAGATGTGTGAACTTCCAACTCCCAGAATTCCCTGACCAGCATTGGTAGGGAATTTTCTGGAATATAGGATATCCCTGTTATGCCATGGCAGATTCTTGGAATCAAAGTACTACTCCTTTTTACTATGGTGTCAAAGGAATATGTGCCATTTGCTGGTGAGGTTAGGAGAATAACCATCTCCAAAGCATGCAGTCAGTGCTGTTCTCTTTTTTGAACAAAAAGCCAGCCTTTCTCAAATGCCTCCCCCCCCCCAAATTTATAGCACTTAATTTTGGAGAGTGAAAAGAAAAGCTAGCTTTCCATGGGAATATATTTGTTACCAGTATTTTTTAAATAGGACATGTTTTTTCCCCTTTTCATTTTATTTTGTGACCTATGCGGTACAATTAGACTGGACAATGTATGTCAGTGATTTTCTCTCCCTCCCCCCTTATATTTCTGTTTTTTTAACCAAGAAATTTTGGAATATAATTCTCTTCCCTTCTTCACCTCAAATATAACCTGCCCACAGGAAGGGAAAGTTGGAAGGAAGCAATTTTAGGAAATTCTGCTTCCCAAATAATGGTGTTGTAAATGTTGTATTTGCAGTGACCATCTTGTCTTTTCCTTCAAAGGAAGAACCTCGTTTCTTGGGGCAGCCATTTTGCAAGGGCGGCCTGTATATGTCACTAGTCCACATTGTGAGTTGAAGAAACTGAGGTGCTCTGTCTTAAGTTCATTTCTGCCTGTTCTGCCCACAGGATTGTCTGTTTCCCAACCTTTGCTCTTTCTTGCAATAGGCCAAAGAGAGAATGAAAGAGATCCCGATCTGTATCTAAGCCACTACTTTTTATTCTTTTATGATTTTTTTAAAAAAAAAATGCTTGCCATTTCATAAATGCAACTATTTTCCTGGCTTTGAAAATAGCAGAAGAAAAAAAAAAAGTGTTTTTGGTTATTTAGACCAGGGGTCTCCAACCTTGGCAACTTTAAGACTGGAGGACTTCAACTCCCAGAATTCCCCAGCCAGCTTTGCTTGCTCCTTTTCCCCATTTTTGTCCAGCCCACTCTTTCTGATTACTTGAAACAAGGCTAGTTTTTCTGTTGGATTTGCACGAAACCTGTGGGTAGTGAGTGGACACACACTCTGTCCTCCTAGGAACATAACTCACTTCCTGGGTCAATAGGATGCATCAGGACCCTACCAAGTGCAGCTTCCCAAAATAAGGTCACTAAGGTTTGTTTTTATTACTGAATTAAGAACATTAGTGTATTTCTGATGCCAGAGGATTTTAGCTTTAATATAGTAATCATTCCGTGGTCCTCTTGTCTTAATTAATGAGTGGTGCAGTCTTTAATTCTTCCATTTTGATTGTAGTTACTTTGGATTACACCAGCCTTTCTCAACTTTAAGCTGTGAGGATTTTAAGCATGCTGGGAGTTGAAGTCTACACAGCTTAAAAGATGCTGAGGTTAAAAAATGGATTACAGGATTGATTTCTAAATCTTATATCCATTTTTCAAAAATTAACTCAAAGATCTAAGATCTGCAAATACCACTGTGGACTGCGTTATTTTTTTTTAAGGGAAGGGGGAAAATTGTGACTTGTGCACACATATATAACCATTTTATTAGCGCTAACCGGGGCCTATTTCTTATTCATGCTGTGCACTGTGAACCCTTGATTTTGTTATTTCAAACAAAAGCCACCCATTTTATGTAGCAAAATCAGCATACTGGAAATACCACCAACCAGGTGTCCCATCTGCTGCGTCGGACTCCAGCTCCCGTAATTACTAATCAGCATGGAGACTGGGAATGATGGAAACCAAAACACCTCGATGAGGTTTAGATGTAGAACTCCAAAATTCAATTACAGTAATTTAATGTGTCCAATTTTTTTTTTATTAAATGTCTTTGCTTTCAAATAGGAGAAGTGGAATTGATTTCCAAATAAAAGGGCTATATGATTGCACAACGGTGTAGATATATATATATATGTGTACTGAGTGCAGATGTGCGTGTGCCATGCCTTGTTTAGGCATGTGAAGACATTTTGCCAGCTCATCCTCTGGGATCAACGTGCAATTCTAGGCAGATAGGATTCTCCCCTAAAACTGAATGCACACATTAACTGCAATGCAGGGTAGAGAACTAGGAAACTATTTGGGTCTTATCATTCTGCTTTTACATAGAGCAACACAAATTGAAGAGGGAACTAGCCTTCTTAGAAGATCAAGAATAAGCCTGTTAAAACCTCAGTTGTTAAGATCACCTTAAAGCCGTTACTCGGTTGGTTTTCTGAGCTTGAGATTGGTGAGCTTGGCTTTTTGAACTTCTTAAGCATGAGAGATTTTTTGGGGGAAAAAAGGAATGAAGGTAGGAGTGGCTGAATAGTTCTTGTAATCTGCAAACCGCTGCTCTTTTGATGGTGATATGCTATCAAGCCTAAGGGGAGGGGGAAATCTGTTGTATCGTGAATTGCTATCTAATTGGAGCTTTTCTTTTGATCGTCTTCCAAGTATTATTTTTTATTGTAAACAAAAAATGTGAAATGTAATTTTTACAACAGCAATATGAAATATATTTTATAATAAAAGGATATGGCCTGGTAGACGCCGGTTTCTGTGTTTTTTTTGCACCTTCTCGGGAGGGTGGGCGGGTAGGTAGGCCTACATAAAAGGTGAGTCTTCCACCTACTTTTCCAGAAGACTATTGACTCATAGTCCCAACTGGTCAGGATGTGTATGGAGACATAGAAAGTGGACTTTTAAATTAAACCAGGTTACTGGTACAACTATTACCCCAATAGCCAGACTGGACTATTCATGTGGAGCTGAGATGTCTGGCCAGATGTACTTCTTGAGATTCTATTATTTGAAGAAGTCTCTTGTTGAACAATTTTTCCTGTTAGAAAATTCTTACCGATACCTAACTAAATTCTACTTCATTGTCATTTAACACTCTGTTCAAAAGTTGAGGGATGATATCTCTCTCAACAATTGAGATAACTCCTAATGAGTGACGCTTTCCTCCCTCTGGCATTTTTCAAGTTAGACATTTCTTGATTAGTACACACGTATACTTGTATAACTGGGCAGAAGGTAAGAGTGTCTCAAAATGCATTTGTACTGGTGTAGATACAAAGGTCATCCAAGTAGGGAACTGGCGCCCCAAAGCTTCATATGATTCCTCTTAAAGCAGATAGATCTGTGTATACTTCAACCAAGGGACCTTCACAATAGCGCGCAAAGAACAGTCTCTAAGGTTATTTGTGATAAGCAGCTCCATAGCAGGAAGATATGGATTTTGGGGTGACTGGAGAGTATATGACCCTTGAGGGAAGGGTTACCCCCAGGGAGACCCAGAGCCCCCCCCCCACAGGGTGAGCTGGATGGGGGGGGACGAAATTGGGGAGCTTTACCCTCTAGAATGGAAAGTTGAGGGTTATTGGGGCTGGAAAATGACTACAAACTTATGCGGTTTGAATCCCCCCCCTCCTTCCTTCAGACTGAGCTTTGGCCTATTGGCCTACTACGATCATAGCTTCCCATCCATCTTGGCCTGCTGAACTACTCCTAATTTTTTCCCATTTCCATCTGGCCTGTCTGGATTCCCTACCATGTAGAACTTTTCTGACGAACATTTACGAACTTAAACCTCCTTTGAGCTGGATATTGGATTCCCTGATGCTGCTAATCCCAGGAGGGATACTGGTTCTATGGACATGGGGCCGAGGAGGCGGAATATGGCTATCCTCACCCTTGAGCTTTCTATCAAAGTCTCCATGGATTGGCCTGGTGAGAGACGGCCACCCTGGAAACTTTCGGGGTCGAATGATATGCACCTCCTTAGCCACTGTCGTGAGAGGACAGTGGAGCTTGGCAGCCTGACCATGGACTGGAATTTTCCCTACGCTTATAACATCAGTGGTCCCCCACCCTTGGACTGTTTCCCCTTGATAGCTATATGTATTCGGTGTCGGAACTCCTCGCCCTGCGAGATTCTCCCCTCTCGCAGATTTGGCCCCCCACATTATCGAGGGCCTATCTCGATGACGGACTTTGGAGTCCGGAGAGATGGCATGGAGCAAGGAAGAATTTATGGGGCTTTTTAGGGAAATTTTTAAAGATTTTAAGGGGTTCTGGGGGAGGGGGTTGTAATTATTCTTTTAAAGATATTGGGAAGACGACTAAGGCGGATTGGGGGGGGAAATCCACCAGGGTCAGAGCCGTGCCCGGCACAGGGTAACGATCCGGGGGGCACCGGACGAGGGATTGGGAAAGGGATGGGGGACGATATCTATGAGGGCTGTACCATCGGCACGGTGAATGGGAGGGGCAGATATGGCGGGAGCAGGGGACCACATCAGGTGCTGGGGGCTCGCACTTGCTGTCTGAGAGCAATTGCTTGCCCCGGTCCCCAAGGCTCTGCTCGGATACTAGGTGGCTTAGATACTCAGGAGCTGGGCCTTCGGCTGATGCTGTGCAATGCCAGGTCCGTGGTCAATAAGGCCCCCCTCATTCACGATCTTATACAAGAGGGAGGAGCGGACCTGGCGGGTATTACGGAGACCTGGTTGGGCCCGGAGGGTGGCGTCCCTCTGGTTGAAATGTGCCCACCAGGCTTCAGAGCATTCCATCAGCCGAGGGCTCAGGGGAGGGGCGGGGGGGTGGCGGTTATTGTTAACGAGGATCTGGGTCCGAGGGAGACCACTGTGCCTCAGATAGCCGGATGTGAGTCCCTCCTTGTGAGGTGGGGCCGTGGGGTTCAGATGGGCTTGTTGCTTACGTACCTGGCTCCCTGCCGCGTGGCAACAGCCCTACCTGAGCTACTCGACGTGATAGCCACGGTGGCAGTAGATACACCCAGGCTTTTAGTCATGGGTGATTTCAACTTGCCATCCGTCGGTGAAACGTCTGAGGTGGCTCGGGAGTTCATGGCTTCCATGACGGCCATGGACCTGACCCAGTTAGTTCATGGCCCTACTCACAGGGGAGGTCACACTCTGGATCTGATTTTTGTCTCTGGCCAGTGGTTGAGTGGTCTTGTTATAGGGGATATAGACATGGAACCCTTGTCATGGTCTGACCACTCACTCCTTCGCCTAGATCTTCGAACCGCGACCCCTCGCCGCAGGGAGGTGGATCCAATTAGATGGATCCGCCCCAGGCGCCTGATGGATCCTGATAGGTTCCAGACGGAGCTTGGGCCATTTCCTGAGGATCTAGCACATGACTCGGCCGAGGACCTGGTAGCCGCCTGGGATCGGGCGGCTGGTGGGGCCTTGGACCGAGTTGTGCCTTTGCGGCCTCTGACCCGATGCCGATCCCGTGCGGCTCCTTGGTTTACTGAGGAGCTGAGGGAAATGAAGCGCCGGAAAAGACGCCTGGAGAGCGGTTGGAGGGCCAGTCTCGCTGAATCTGATCGAACACTGGTAAGGTCGCATATTAAGGCCTACCTAGTGGCGATAGAGACGGCAAAGTCTAACTACTTTTCCGCCTCTATTGCGTCATCAGGGAATCGTCCGGCTGCCCTGTTTAGGGTGACCCGCGCCCTGCTCCATCCAGGAGTGCGGGAGGATCCCTTAGAAGGCAGGGCGGAGGATTTCGGACAATACCTGTATGACAAAATCGCCCAGATCCGGGGGGATTTGGACTCTGACTGGGTAGATCAGGGCAGGGTGACGAGGAATAGTCTTGAGAATGTTATCTGGGAGGAGTTTGATGCTGTGACTCCTGATGATGTGGACAGGATTTTGGGGAGACTTAGTGCGGCCACATGTTTACTGGACCCGTGTCCCTCCTGGTTGGTACTGGCTTCCCGGGAGGTTACACGAGGCTGGCTCCAGGGTGTTATCAACGCTTCGTTGAGTGAGGGTTACTTCCCCACCGCCTTGAAAGAGGCGGTGGTGAGGCCTCTCCTCAAGAAGCCGTCCCTGGATCCGGCAATATTGGCCAACTATCGTCCTGTCTCCAACCTTCGCTTTATGGCGAAGGTTGTTGAGAGTGTGGTCGCACGACAGTTTCCGCAATTCCTGGAGGAAACATCTTATCTAGACTTCCCCGGCACCTGGATGAAGCTATCTATCTAGACCCGTACCAGTCGGGTTTCAGGTCTGGGCACAGCACAGAAACGGCATTGGTCGCGTTGGTTGATGATTTCTGGAGGGCTCGGGACAGGGGTTGTTCCTCTGTTCTGGTCCTGTTAGACCTCTCAGCGGCTTTTGATACCATCGACCATGGTATCATGCTGCACCGGCTGGAAGAGTTGGGGGTGGGAGGCACCGTGTTGCGGTGGTTCTCCTCCTTTCTCTCCGACCGGTCGCAGTTTGTGTTGGCAGGGGGGCAGAGGTCGACCTCGAGGCCTCTCATTTGTGGAGTGCCGCAGGGATCGGTCCTCTCGCCCCTTCTGTTCAACATTTATGTGAAGCCGCTGGGTGAGATCATCCGTGGCTTTGGGGTGAGATACCACCAGTACGCTGATGACACCCAGCTGTACATCTCCACCCCAGGCCACCCCAACGATGCCCTTGAAGTGATGTCCCAGTGCCTGGAGGCTGTACGGGTCTGGATGGGGAGGAACAGGCTCAAGCTCAACCCTTCCAAGACTGAGTGGCTGTGGCTCCCGGCATCCCGATATAGTCAGTTGACTCCATCACTGACTATTGGGGGCGAGTCATTGGCCCCCACAGAGAGGGCTCGCAATCTGGGAGTCCTCCTGGATATGCAGCTGTCCTTGGAGGAACATCTGACGGCTGTAACCAGGGGGACCTTTTGTCAGGTTCGCCTGATTCGCCAGTTGCGGCCCTTTCTTGATCGGGATTCCCTGTGCACAGTCACTCACGCCCTCGTCACCTCTCGCCTTGACTATTGCAACGCTCTCTACATGGGGCTCCCCTTGAGGAGCACCCGGAGGCTCCAGCTGGTCCAGAACGCAGCAGCGCGGGTAGTGACGGGAGCAGCATGGCGCTCCCATGTAACACCGCTCCTGCGCGAGCTGCACTGGCTCCCAGTTGTCTTCCGGGTGCGCTTCAAGGTGTTGGTTATCACCTTTAAAGCGCTCCATGGCATAGGGCCTAGCTATCTTCGAGACCGCCTGCTGCTACCAACGACCTCCCATCGACCCGTGCGCTCCCACAGAGAGGGCCTCCTCGGGGTGCCATCAGCCAGACAATGTAGGCTGGTGACCCCCAGGGGGAGAGCCTTCTCTGTGGGGGCACCTACCCTCTGGAATCAGCTCCCCCCAGAGATAAGGAGAATCCAAGACCTCAGTGCCTTCCGTCGCGCCCTTAAAACCCATTTATTTAAACAAGCCGGGCTGGCTTAAGATGAAATTTTTAACTGTTTTTAAATGTTTTAAACGTTTTTAATTGGTAAATGAGTTTTAATTGGGCCAAATTTATATATCTTTTAATTGTTTTTAATATTTGTTCTGCATGTTTTTTTTAATTTGGCTGTACACCGCCCTGAGTCCTTAGGGAGAAGGGCGGTATAGAAATCCAATATAAAATAAAAATAAAAATAAATATTGTAACAGGGAAGCTTGCAAACTAGAAAGCATCATTTTCTCTTTCAACAATGGTTGTTAATAATGGTACGTTTTGGTCCATCTAGTGTTTCTACTACAGGATGTTCCTTTTTATTACTCCAGTTAAACCACTAAGTTTGAGTGATCTTAAATCTTTCTGCCCCAAACTTCAAGAATGCCAGCATGGAATCAGTTAAGACATATTGTTTTATAGCACACCTCAAGCACTTGGCATACTTGGGTGTATGCATGTCTTTTTTTAATGAACTGAAGTAGTTGGGTAAGGTATGGCTAGGTGTGGCATTAATAGGAGATCTTCATGGAATTTCCTACTTCATTTTTAACTGCAATGAAATAATGGCTACACAAACATCATGTGCCAGGAGATGAAACACCTCTGGGCTGGCTTGTTAACTAGTTGGATAGCAGGCTCCTTGGGCTGCCCAAACATTGGATAGAATTATGGGGAAGAAATTCATTGCTACAGTTGGTTGCCTGCCTACAATTTAAAGAAACTAATCATGGTTAAATACCTAAGCAAAACAGGAATAAGGAAGCTGCCCACCTGTTCATGTTAACCAACCAGAATGGTTTAACAATTCAAGCAAATTTGTCCCCAGGATATTCCCTCCCCCCCAATTTTTTATTCCACGAATGTGATTTTGTGCAATCTCATTACGTCTTGAAAGTGCTCGACTGAGCATCAGTTTCTTAGACCAAAGTCAGTTTGCTACTTTTATGCTTCTGTGGTAATCAAGCTGGACCAAGCAAAGCAGAACAAAAAAGGTGACCAAGTGGCTGTTCCTAGTATATTTTATTTATTTATTTATTTATTTAAATTTCTATACCGCCCTACTCTCGAAGGACTCAGAGCGGTGAACAGCCAGAAGATAAAACACATAAATACAAAAATTTAAAATAGAATAAAAACGAATTAAATAATTTGTCTGAATTTAAAATACCCCATAATTTAAAAACAAATTAAAATTTACATTTAAAAAGGGGAGAGGATTTAGGACAGGCCAGCTTGATGAAATAAAAGAGTCTTAAGCGCGCAACGGAAGGTGCGCAGATCCGGGATCCTCCGTATCTCCGGGGGGAGCTCGTTCCAGATCGTAGGTGCCCCCACAGAGAAAGCTCTCCCCCTAGGGGCCGCCATTGTTTGGCGAACGGCACCCAGAGGAGCCCCTCTCTATGGGAGCATACTGGCCGGTGGGAGGCTATTGGTGGTAGCAGGCAGTCCCGTAGATAACCAGGTCCTAAGCCATGGAGCGCTTTAAAGGTGATAATCAAAACCTTGAAGCGCACTCGGAAGACCACCGGGAGCCAGTGCAGCTTGCGCAGGAGAGGTGTTACATGGGAACTCCACGTTGTTCCCATAACCACCCGCGCGGCTGCACTCTGCGCCAGTTGGCGCCTCCGAGTGCACCTCAAAGGGAGCCCCATGTAGAGAGCGTTACAATAGTCCAGACGAGAGGTGACGAGGGCATGAGTGACTGTGTGTAGAGAGTACCGATCTAGAAAGGGACGCAACTGGCGGATCAGGCGAACCTGATGAAAAATCCTCCCGGTCACGGCCGTCAAGTGCTCTTCTAAAGACAGCCGTGAATCCAGGAGGACGCCCAAGTTGCGAGCCCTTTCCGTGGGGGCCAATGATTCCTATATAATTCCTAGCTGAACTATTTTCCTAAATCAATACACATCAAGATACCTTAAAACATTACATAAAGTATATTATTTAGACATAGTAAAACAATTGTCAATTAATTTGTTTTAATGATCAGTTTTGAAACACAACTTTAAAAAATATACAAAAAACAGTTAAGAAAGAGATGTAAATCGAAGTGTAACAGCAGGGTTTTAATCTCTTGGTGATTCCATTTTTTAAAACAATGATTTAAATTATATTAAATTAACTAATCCGGAATGAAACGATCTCAAAAGAAACACTATCAATTTCCCAACTGTTCTGTTACATCTTAAGAAGTCACACAATTTCAGCAATACTGTTCAACAAGGAATCTAACCCTTCAGTTTGCTAATGCCTGTACTTTACATCTTGTATGAAATTTACGACTTTACAGGTATTGCATATTTTGACATCAGAGGTAGTCCTCATTTAGCAACTATTCAAAGTTATGACAGTGATGAAAAATTAACTTTGGGACCAGTCCTCAAATTTATGATCTCCACAGGTCTGTAAAGCAAAGGAAAGCTGATGTAAGGTCATAAGCAATCAACTCACTTACTGACCATTTATTTAATGACTGAGTTGCCGGTCTCAACTGTGATTGCTGAACAAGGACTATCTATATTTACTGAAAATAAGTACGTATTATGCAATTTAAAGTACCAATTTTTTTCCTCAAGATCTCTCCTATCTCAGAAACCCTTTTTTGCATTTTCCTTGCAGGCCTTGCATATCCTTCTCTTAATTGCCGGTGTCCGCCCTTCTCAACTCAGGACAGACCTTGATCAGAAATATTCAGTCCGATTTCAATGATCTGCATTTCTATTTTGACCTTTTATTGGCTTACAGCACAATTCTATGCAAACCTACTCAGAGATTAAGTCCCATTATATAGCTTATCTCCAGGAATGTATTAAAAATTCCTAGTAATCAATTACAGACATTTAAAGCTTTAATGTATTAAATCTTTCCCCTTTGCTTGGAATTGCATCTGGATGCTTTTTTCAGTGGTGGTATTCACTTACCTTTGCTACCAGTTCACAAATGTGAGCGCGCATGCGCAGAGCGTCAAAAACGGGACCTGATGATGTCCGGGCGGGTGGGCGGGCGGAGCCTCCCACCGCCATCGGTTCGCCCGAACCGGTTAGAACCGGCAGAATACCACCATTGGTTTTTTCCATTCTGTAGGTTATTAGACTAATTTCATTCTCTTCTCATAAAAGCTATGACTGGCACTGTTGGGGGAAACAGTATGGTTTATTTTAGTCCACACAATTATTTTATGTGAATTTAGATGATTGCTCTGAAAGTGTTCAAACATTTCTAACAGGTATATACTCTGTCTACCTTTTGTTCAGAATGAACGTTCTTTGCAAGCAATATAAAATTTAATTATTCATACTTTTCAAGTTAAACGATGCGTTAGAATTACAAATCTATTTCTAATCTACATTTGAATGACCACAGTAGAGGTTTCTTAACAGAATGAGTACCAACAAAATAACTTTTTCATATGGCTACCTTAAAAAATACAACTAAGTTTACACAGGTTGGTGAAAAGTCCAAGTTAAATACTTTGAAATAATGCTTGTTCTCTGAAGATCTTTCTGTGCATATAAATATGACTTCTTCTCTGCATAGGTTTACTTCTGCTTGATAAAACAAAAACTTTTCCTACTGCACTCTATCGTCTCTCCCTGGTGTGTATCCTCTGATGTAAAGTTAGGCTTGTGTTTCGACTGAAGCTCTTCCCACACTCTAAGCATTTATAGGGCTTCTCCCCTGTGTGAATCCTTCTATGTGAAACAAGATCTGTGCTCTGTCCGAAGTACTTCCCGCACTCCGAGCATGGATACGGTTTCTCTCCTGTGTGGATTCTATGATGCCTAACCAGGCTGGACTGAGTGGTAAAACTCAGGCCACAGTCTGAGCAGCTGTATGTCTTTTCCCCAGTGTGAATCCGCTTATGTTTCACAAGGCTTGAATGGTCCCGGAAGCTCAGGCCACAATCCAAGCAGCTGAACGGTCTCTCTCCGGTGTGTGTCCTTTGATGTGAAGAAAGGCTTGTGCTCCGACTAAAGTTCTTCCCACACTCCGGGCATTTGTACGGCTTCTCTCCTGTGTGGCTTCTCTCGTGCTTAATAAAGCTTGACTGATCAGAGAAGCTCTTGTTGCAGTCTAAGCAGCTGTACGGTCTCTCCCCGGTGTGGATCCTCTGATGCAAAGTCAGGCTTGTGCTTCGGCTGAAGCTTTTCCCGCACTCTAAGCATTTATAGGGCTTCTCCCCTGTGTGAGTCCTTCTATGTGAAGCAAGGTCTGTGCTCTGACCGAAGTATTTCCCGCATTCCGTGCACCGATATGGTTTCTCTCCTGTATGGATTCTCTGGTGTCGAACTAAGCTTGACTGAGTGCTAACGCTCAAGCCACAGTCTGAGCAACGGTAGGGTTTTTCCCCAGTGTGAATCCGCTTGTGTTTAATAAGGCCTGAATGGTCCCGGAAACTCAGGCCACAATCCAAGCAGCTGAACGGTCTCTCCCCGGTGTGTGTCCTTTGATGTGAAGAAAGGCTGGTGCTTGAATTGAAGCTCTTCCCACACTCCAGGCATTTATACGGCTTCTCCCCTCTGCGAATTCTCTGATGCGAAGGGGGGTTTGAGCTGTGACTGAAGCCCTTTCCACACTCCAAACATTTATAGAGGTTCTTGTCTTCCAGAAATGCTTGACCATCAGCAAGGTTTTGGTTCCAATTCACACTCTTCCCAAATTTGAAGTTTTGATTTGACTGTGTATGGATTAACTGGTGAATATACAGACAATTGTTGCATCTCTTATCTGTTTGGCTGCTAGGCTGAACTGGGGTTTCACTGAAACTTCTACCTTGAGAAGCAATAGATTTATCACCTCTTTTCTCCACAAAACCTCCTTCTTCTCCCATTGGTCTACTTTGATTCCAAAAATTTTCTTTTAGTTCCTCAGATTGTTTCCCATCTTTCTCACTCTTCCATCCATTATCCACTGGAATAAACAGAAATCCAACAAAATTTCTAAGTAGGACCTCTAGACATTGTGTTATATATCTACTTAGTTTCTTGGGGCCACCATTTTCCCCCAATAGTTAATTAGTCCTGTAGGTCCTTCCTAGGTAATCTGCTACAGGGTTTATTACTCTTTCCATTAGGATTCTGACTTACAGCAACAGCAATGACTCTTTTCTGCAACATGCTTAATAATCAGCTAGAACCTAAGTATTCCATATCTCATTAGCAGTGATTTTGGCAGCACACTGCTGCTTTAATTGGGTCAACAACTGCTATTTTAGGAAAATACTTTTTCATGAAATACCTGATATCTTATGAGTCCTTGTGTTAGTCAAATACTGGTAAGCTTTATTGTATTACTAACCCCATCCCTTTTGACAAGAAAGCAACAGTAGGAGAAGTTTCATCACTATAGCTATAATGGGAATGAGCTTGGGAGACAGGAAGAAGAGTGCAACCTAGATAGTAGCCTGATAAAATTTGTGTCTGAAGGAGGTGTGGCGGGGTGAAATCCAGCAGGTTCTGACAGGTTTTGGAGAACCGGTAGTGGAAATTTTGAGCAGTTTGGAGAACCATCAAATACCACCTCTGGCTGGCCCCAGAGTGGGGAGGGAATGGGGATTTTGCAGTATCCTTCCCCTGGACTGGGTTAGGAATGGAGATTTTGCAGTATCCTTCCCCTGCCATGCCCACCAAGCCACACCACGCCCACAGAACCGATAGTAAAAAAAATTGGATTTCACCACTGAGGTGTGGTGAAAGCATTTCAGAAGGGATCTTCTCTAGTTTTTGGGAGAGTAAAAGTGAAGAAAGGAAAGAGGTACTTTTAGTCTTTCAAGATTCTGTTAATCTGACCTTACAGTAGAATTAATAATCATAGTACTACTTCATAACAGAACTATCTCAAAGGGCTAACAATAGCCAATTAATGTTGGAGAGACATGTCTCTGGGTTGCCAGATCTTGAAATAAACAAGATTGGTTTTTCAGTTGTTTTTCTCTCTCTACTGCAAATAGTTATTTAATCAAAACAATGTCTAGATTTAGGCATGCGCACAATTCATTGGGTCAAGTTAGCTTTAATTCTGTGCATAACTCGTTTGAGGATGAATTTTATTGAGTATTAGCTAACTGCGTCAATTGACCTCTATTGTGTTACAACATGCTAATATTTAATCATCCTTTCCACTAACCAAGTTAAATCAGTTGGGATCAAACAGCTCTCCTCACTGTCATTGATGTGTCAGAAGTGCTGAGGCGCTTCCGGGTTGAAAGGTTTAGCTAGTGACATCATTGTTGCCTGGGGAAATAGCTGGGGCCTCCTTTCATGGCCTCATTAATGAGCCCACCAAAGTAGTACCTATTTATCTACACGCATTTGCACACTTTCAAACTGCTAGGTCGGAGCTGGAGCGAATCATGGGAGCTCACACAGCAGCATTTGGGTCTCGAATGTGGGCTTGCAAATTGTCAACCCAACATTCCAACCACGTGAGCTACTGTGCTTGGTTAGCTCTCCTAAAAGCATCAAAAATTAAGGCTACCAATTTGGTTCTTTGAAAATCCAGATGATTCTAGATGTGTCATGCCCCTGTCGGAGTCTGAATCTGCGGGGGAAGATGAGCTGGAACAAGAGCCAACAGAAATTGAGAGGGTGGCTCCATTGGTCTTGGAGGAAACTGGGGAAGGGCAGAGTCAGTCCGGGCAAGGCTTTTCAGGATCAGAAAGGCTTGCAGACAGGGAGGAGCAGCTGAAGAGCAAGACCACCCTGTCCTGATCCTAGAGCACGGAAAGAAGAGAGAAGATGAGAACACAGACTGAGCTGGCTACGAGGGAGGAGAGTGCTCCGCCCCCCTTCACAAGGCACACCTGGGGATTGAGATGTAAGGAGGTGCTGGTGGGAGGGGCATTTGTCTGGAACAAGCGTTGAATCTGTGGAGCCTTGTGTGCACTTGCTGATGCCTGTAGATTACTGTGCTCTGTCTTGTGGAGCTTGCCCTGTTTGCCTGCTTCACTGGACTGCTGGCCCTGGTTACTGTTTGGCTAACCTGGCTTTCTGGACTACTCGCAGCCAGAGGCTGCTGAAGTTGCGTGTGAGAGCTTTGCTCCAGGACTTGTAGTAAACATGGGGACATTTGGGGGCAAAGTTGGAGCAATAAAGGGAAGTTAGACCTGTTCTCTGGCTGGCTGTGTTGCTTTCATGCCACGCCCTGGGTCTTCACAAGATGGCAGCAAACAGACTTCTAACTTTGCTATCATGTGTGGTGGTCTGAAGCTTTGCATCCCATGTCTGGTAAATTCACCAAAATGCCACAAATTAGGGATCTCACTGAATTTCAGTGTTTTAATTTGTACCATTTAAGCAAGTACTATTTAGGTACAGGCAGTAGCTTTTATGTCCATGTTGGTGACCTTTATGCTGTGCCATACTTTTTTTTTTTTTCATTTTCTCTGAGAGTAAATCCAGATCATTGGATGTAATTCATAGTACTAATGGGCACTTTGGAAGTTCGATATGGACTGCAGCCTCGATAGTTTTGGGACAGGCTACTCCCAGCAGTACCAGTCAAACCTAGATGGGAAGATTCTCTTGGAATCCCTACTCCAAAGAGAGCAACCATTAAGCACAAAACCAAGCCTTTCTCCTCCTGCCCCACTACTATGGACTAACATTCCCGCTATGATTAGCCCAGCACCAACCGTCTTGCAGTTTAACAAAGCTATTAAGACTAAGCCAGCCAAGAAACTGCTTAAGACTGACTTAAGAAATGAGACCCCCCGCCCAAAAATGCCCCCCCCCCAATTTCTTGATCTGTTTTCTAGGAATCCTGTTTCTGGGCATAATGCAAATAGAATTACTATGGTTATATTTGGTTACTGTATTTTATAATCCATTTACTGAAATGGAATTATGCTGCGTGAAGCCAGTTGCAACTGAACCAGCCCAGAAATTGCATAATATGTAAGTACACAGTAGCTTATTCAACAAATCATGATGAAAATAAGATGTGGCTTAGTGTTAAGATGAACAAAAATGAACAAAGCTCATAAGATATACCCATAGTCCTTACCAGTGTCAATTCTCAACTGGACGCTAGTTCCACAAGGAGCTGGGCTCCCTTCTCTGCAGGGAATGGCTTTATTTGCTTTCTCTCCTGGGACGTTTTTTGCTCTTTCTTGGCTTGCTAAGGTCTTTGACCACTCCCAGTTCTGGAAACCACAAGCTTCTCCTTTACAGGCTGACTTGCCATGTAATTCCATTGGTTTTGAATCTTCTGATATACGTCTCTCCTCGCTGATTCTGATTAAATGTTCCTGGCCTGTTGAAGTAATTAAAAAGAAACCCCCAATTTGTTCCCCAAATGAGAAAATATGCAACTTCAAAATTATTTTCTATATGTATGTGGAAATGGAATGAAGTGGAAGAATCACCTTTCAGATCTCAGAAGGCATTTAGCTGTCTCATGCATATGTCAGATTAAGAATCCAAACTTTTGAGCATAATTTTTCTATTTCTTCCATATACTGAACTTTACCAGAGTACAGTATACCAGATAAAAGGGGAAAAAAACCAATTATATGCTTTCCCACACTCTGTTGCCTCTAGTCATTAGGAAAAATCATAACTGCTTCTAAGCCCAAAATTAAAAAAAAATATATTATCAATATTCTAAGATAAAGACTTATGCAATTGTGAAGGAGGTGAAAGAATCCCAGGTGCATAAGAAAATATATTTATTGAACCCGAATGAGTTTCAAAAATAATGGTGTTCAGTAAACCTACGTTGCATATCTGGGTTTTTTTTCTCCTCCTTCTTTTCACTGCAATTAGGCCTTTCACCTTTCCTTCTTTTTTCATATCCCAAAGACCTTAAATAAAAATAAGTTCCAAAAGAAATTAAGTGGAGGTTGTAAATTTAGATCATGTGGGTGGCCTAGGTAGTCTGCTTTTAAAAGATCAAATAACACTCATTAAATCTTGGGGAAATTATGTCTACCCATTTCCATTTAGTGATCGAAGAGTGTGGATACTGTAAGTATACATCACCCTTTCTGTTCTCTGAAGGAAGGAGTCCTAGCTGAACACAAAGAAATTTAGATACAGAAAAGGGCATTCTTCATTACCCAAGAAGCAGACATCTACTGTTTCATCTGCTCTTTTGGTTACAGCACACAGAAGTCTCCTTTCCATGTTAGCTGGAGCTTTGTCTTGCTAGAAGTTTGAAGTTTCTTTTCCAGTAGTAGGAATGAATCCTTTCAAGATAAAGCAAAAAAGCGGAAAGGGCATAAAAAAATTAAAAGATCCAATTCTGTTTAGTAGTCCCGTTAGCACATGCTAAGAGCAGGGGTCTCCAACCTTGGCAACTTTAAGACTTATGGACTTCAACTCCCAGAGTTTCTCAGCCAGCTGGGGAGGTTGGAGACCCCTGTGCTAGAGGAACATCAGGACTGAATTATTTGAATGTATGCATTAAATTTATTGAGGCTTTTTGATGGAAACTAGCTATACATAGTTCGCGGTAACCTTGCATGCAGTTGACTCAAGAAGATGGACGAGGAACTTTCTGTCCTTTGGTCTACAAAAATGACCTCTTATGGCTAGACTGACCCTATAAAAGTGATACCCAATTCCACAAATTAATGCAAACAGAAAGCTCTTTTATGCTTCCTTTTGATGTCAATGTTGGTTATCAACCCTGATTTTCAATGTTGTTGGACTTAGTGGCCCAAATATTTCTTTCCTTCTCTGTATAAGGTGTATAACGTTATGACTTAAGTTTTCCAAATGTAAGAAGAAAAAAAAAAACTAAATTCATTTAAACTTGGTCTTTTTGTAAGGTGGAAATAAAGTAGAGCAGGAATTCTTATAGAATTTCACTACAAATCCAATAAAATTAATTTTATTGATCTAAAAGCAAAAAAAACAGTAATACATTATCACTTGAAATAAATGAGTTTACAATCCCTGATGGTTTCAGACTCTAGCTGTCTTCTCTTTCTCCTACTGTTTTATTACTTATGTCCATATTCTTCCATCCTTGGAGTGGCTCTTTTATAAAATAAAATAGAGCAAAACCTCCTATGACAGATCTTACCATGATAAAACTACAGCATGTAACACAAAAAATATTATTTTCTCTTCTGAAAGTTACAGTATTTTTCGAACTATAAGATGCACCAGTCTATACGACACACCAAGATTTTGAAGAGGTAAGTAAGGAAAAAATGTTTTTGCCCTCTTCCAGCCCCCAGGAGCACTATGCAGGCCTCCCAAAGCCTCTGTGCATCCGGTTTTTGCGAAAAATGGGCCAATTTTTTGCAAAAATGGGATGAGCGGGGCGGGGCATTGGGAGGCCAAAAATGCTGTACTTGATTTTTAAGACACATCAATATTTCCACCCTCTTTTAGGGGGGAAAAAGTGTGTCTTATACTCCAAAAAATACAGTATATAATCAACAAATTATGTCACATGTAATGTGATGAATTAACAGAAGCTGTCAAAATTTTCAGCTATACATATATATCTTAGTTAGGTTATTTCAAAATCCTTATTCTTTCCTCTGTTTCTTTTACAATGTTTTGTTTTGTTGTTTTTCTGTTTTGCATGTTACTTTTTATGATAAAACAGATAAATAATATACAATGAATTTATATATAACAGCAATATTACCGTATTGAAATTTGAATTTTTCCAGCTTCTTCTAGAGAAACTACAGTCCTTTTCTGCCACAGTTGTTAAGCGAATCCAGCTTCCCCCATTGACGTTGCTTGTCAGAAGATGGCTGGGAAGGTTCAAATGGTGATCAGATAGCCCTGGTACAGTGCAACATCATAACTATTTGCCAGTTGCCAATAATTGTGATCACATGACGATGAGGATAGTGCAATAGTCATAAGTGCGAAAACGAGAAGTGGTCATAAGTCACTTTTTTCAGTGCCATTGTAACTTTAAACAGACTAACTGTATATCATAAATTAACCTAACAGCAGGTTTGCCCGCTACGATAAACTACAAAATCTAAGAGATTAATTCTGCCCAAGCTTATTATGTTTTACAAATGCACCTGCCAAATCTTTAATTAAACGGGATGTATTCCCAAACAGGTTAGATCTAGGACTTGTGCCCAATTGACTTTAAGAAACAGAAGCCTCTTATTACTGCATATACAAGCATATTGCAGGCTTCCTTATCCCTGCCATCAGTACAAAAAGCATGGTAAACTGTGAGAACTGAAGTCCTCCAAAAATGGGAGTCCCGATCTGTGCAAGAGTCTTTGTGTGTAGGGCTATCACTAGAGATGTCCACCCTCAATATCTAAGTGGAAGGGGAAACAATACTATCCCTTGTATGTTTTGTGCAAAGCAGAACTATTAAGCAATACTTAACAACTGGGGTCTTAATTCTTTGTATAACAGCATGTAAACAGCAGCTCACTTCTTCCCACAACAATTTTCTTTACAGTCCATTTTGGTCCAATTACATACAAATTATGCATGCATTAAAGTGTGTAAGTCTATTATTTTTGAAATAATTATGTTTGTTATTAATTAAACCTTCCCTTTTCTCTCCAAAAAGGGAATAAGGGTTTTCACTTGCTTTGCAAGACCTTAATAAAGATTATTGAACAAATATACATATATCTAATATTCTCTAAAATGCACTGAAGTAGAAGTAAATTCAAATCCTCAGGGAGTCCTCAGGGAGAAGGGCGGTATACAAATTCAAAATTCAAATTCAAATATATTAACATTTAACATTAACATTTATGTTTATGTATCAAAAAATTAGATATCAGAAATTCAGTTATCATTGTGGCAACATCTACAGAACAATAATTACTTGCATTTTTAATATTTACTAATATTTAATGCTACAATAATCCCACCTGCAATTACTGATGTAGTATTATTTTTGGAAAAAAATAAAGAACTGGTAACATTAGAATAATACAAGCATGGATGCAGTTTGAAAAATGAGCAGATGATGATAAATTCCTTGCAGCAGAAGCAATCAAAGCAATGTTTTTTTTAAAAAATAAAATAAAAAGCAAACAAATAAAAAAAACCCTGCTGAACTGTCTCATCTGTCAAAGTGCTCATACAGTAACGAGGTTTTGGGGGTGGGTCAGAAAGCAGAGATTCTGAAGCCAAAGTTGGAATCCATAAAACTTCATATAGGGAAAGGAATTATTTCAAGCTAAACCATGTGAGGCTTTAATGACTAAGATCAACATTAAATGGAATCTGGAAATAAATACGCAATTAATGGTACTGGCGAAGAATATGCATAACATGACTCAAATCCTTCATTTCTCTCTCCACATCTCCCCTCATGCATACACACCCACACCCTGCAGCCTGTTTCAACCGCTGTCTGTACAATCTCAAGGTATACTTTATAATAATTTAGCCTGGCCATAACCCCACACATCATGGGAGCTAGGTCAATTTTACCTACAAAAGATTGCAGCCACCCAACTAGTGAAAGCTAAGCCACCAACCCAGAATCACATTAAGCTTTATGGGGAAAAGCCTCCAGTATAAGAATTATATTGCAAACTTCCTTCCTTCCTGAGCTGCAGATTTTGTTCCCTGCCACCTGCCTGGACTTAGGCTTCACTTGGCGTGCCCCCCCCCGCGACCCTTTCTCGTCTTTCAACCGCATCCCTCTGATAAAGACCATGATAAAAGAGGTCGACCTGTTGGTGATCGACATCCTGGTAATCTCCTTGCAGATTTTCAGCTAAGCTTTCCCTGTAGTTTCCCTCTCTCCAGGTGTTTAATAAAGCCCATGGGGAGGGCAGCTTCAGAGAGAGACTACAAAACCCACGCAAAGGTCCCCCTTTTCCACTATTAGACGCGCAGAGGAAGGAAAACTGGTCCTTTCTTACGAGCTGGAGCTACGGGGGATGAGAAGGAGAGGCAGCTGGTCTTCATGCCCTTCCGATCTGCTTCTCAGCCTCTTTTGGGTTTCCTCTTGGTGGGGGGGGGGGAAATCCCGCCCCCAACATTCACCCAGGTCTGTCCAAGCCCTTTTCTCCCACCTTCCAGCTTGTAAAATCCAAGAGAACCTCCCACCCCCCCCCCTCCAAAACCTCCCCTGGGGCTCTCAGGAAATCTCGCTTGCATTTTCAAACACCAGCTTCCGGGGCGGGTCTAACCAAGAAAGAGCCAATAGGAGAGAGAGCGAGCGAGCGAGCTAGAGAGAGAGGAGGGGGGGGACGGGCGGGGCGGGAATGGAGCTGCTTTGCTCATTTGCCTAGGTAGGAAATGGTCGGGCTGGTATCAAGAAAGTCGTTCAACATATTTTCGGAACAGAGCTTTGATATAATAATATAATAATATTATTATATAATATCAATAATATAAAGCGTGATTGTGCGAATGGCATATGTTGACACAAATAACGTAAAAATCAACTGCATAATCACACAAATTATGCAAATAAACTAAATTATGTCCATTGTTCGCACTGCTTTACAACTAACCGACTTTCTATAGTTTGGGTCAATTGTTCAATTTTTGGTCATTTTTAACAAAATTTTATCTATTCTATTTTGCCATAACACTTAATTTCTAATCTCAAATCACTTATTCAACTAATACCATCTTTAAAAAAAAATTAACACATATTTACTTAATCAAAACAATTACCCATCTATTAACCCACCTTAAATTTTAATTCTATTAATAACTCATAATACATTTCAATACAGTTCAAACATATTTATATTTCATGATACTCATTAAATCCTTATTACTTTATCAAATTTAAATCTTATCTTTAATCTTAAAAATATAGCAATATAGATGTAATTTGTATGTTTGGGAAAAAAATAAAACTTTTTGCAAAAAAAAAAAGTTCTAGAACAGGAGTCTCCAACCTTAGCAACTTTAAGGTGGCTCAGTGGCTAAGACACTGAGCTTGTCGATCAGAAATGTCGGCATTTTGGCTGTTCAAATCCCTAGAAGAGGCGATCGCGCACAAAGCGTGCACACAAAGAGAACCGGTAGTAAAGCCGGTTAGAACCCACCCCTGTACCCCACCCTCCCAAGATGATCCTCCCTCTCTTCGAAATAAGTAGACAATAATTACAGACTTCGCACTGTATCAAACTCAAGTAATATGTGTGAATGCACAAAAGATGCAAAATGTTTTTTGAAAGTATTTATGCAAAAAACAACCTTGATTTTAGATACTGTAGTAGGAGAGTTGGTGGGGATAGGATTAGGGTGTCAGGTAGTGGTGGGATTCAAATTTTTTTACTACCGGTTCTGTGGGTGTGGCTTGGTGGGCGTGGCATGTTTGGTGGGCATGGCATGGGCATGGCAGGGGAAGGATATTGTAAGATCTCCATTTCCAACCCACTCCAGGGGAAGGTTACTGCAAAATCCCCATTTCCTCCTGATCAGCTGGGACTGGGGAGGCAAAGAATAGATGGGAGCGGGGCCAGTCAGAGGTGGCATTTACTGGTTCTACGAACTACTCAAAATTTCCACTACCGGTTCTCCAGAACTGGTCAGAACCTGCTAAAACCCACCTCTGATGTCAGGTTACAACAACCTGCTTGCAAGGTAGACCTGTGCTTGTACTATTACTGTGGAATTTCTCAGGCTTGGCAACGTTAAGATGTGTGAATTTCAACACCTGCAATTCCTCAGTCAGCTGGGTGGGGAATTCTGGGAGTTGACCTCCACGCATCTTAAAATTGCCAAGTTTGAGAAATACTGGGTTAGAGTGTAAACAATTTGCAACCCAGTGAGCTAACCACTAGGTATCCATCCCATAGAAATGGGAGATAGTAAGCAGTCTGTTCGTTCTGTATTTCCATTTAGTAACAAAGAAGAAGAAGAGAGAAGAGATTTGGCTGTGCACACATTACATGGAAACTCCTTGTAATTTTGGTCACCAATCCTGGAAATGGGAGGTGAGAATTTATGATTCTGCACTTGTAGGGAGCTGAACAAGCATGCTGGCCGAGATGATGCCAAGCTCATATTTAAAGTTGCCAAGGGTGAGAAACACTGTACAATGTTATTGCAGTGCACCATGATTGGAAAAAGAATGTAGAGCAATGATCCATGGTTTGAACTGCAGGGTGAGGGGAAGCACAGAAACTCAGCCAAATGAGGAAGACCAGTCAAAGAATGGATTGGAACTATTTTTATTGAAACAGCTTCAATGACAGAATCTTGTATATCTGAATGTGTTTCCTCCTTCCTCCCTTTATCTGTGTGTGGATTAGGGAGCAGTTTATCTGAAATGTTTTATCAAGTTATTTTCTTGGCCCAAACTCAAGCCACTCTTATCAGACTGTTAGCTCAATAGCGACTCTATTTCCTGTTCCCTCTTCCCTCTATATTAAGAGCCATCTGATATGAGAAGAGATCTATATAAGAGCTCAAGTCCTCAGTTAGAATCATATCTATTACAAACTCATGGGCTATATTCATACAACATAGTGAATTGTAATAAACTTGGATTTGGTTTTGGTTTAGTAGGTTCCGTATATTCAATCATTGTAGTGTTGGAAGAAATGTCCATCTGAGTTCAGGGAAAGACACTGGAAACATGAAGGCTGATTGGAAGGATGGTTTAATGGTGAACAGGACCACATGGGTTTGAAGTCCTGGGTAGCTGACTACATGCAGTGGAAAGTGAGTGTTATTTATACCCTCTCTTGGGCTTTGAACTTGAGCTTCCTGTTCCTGTGGCAAATATCCTATTGGCTGTCAGACTCACAGGAGGTGGGGGTCTTAGCTAATTTTGTATGCTGACATCTGCTGTGGGCTATTGAGGAGGGTGGGGGCTATTAAGAGTGTGCTTCCTGCCTCAAAAAACATGTTGCTCCATTTCTCATCCGGAGAAATATAACATTCTGCCTTTTTAATATTTCCTAGAATATTTCATTCTTCTAGGAGAGGGGTGGATGCTAACTTTCTACAGTAGTTTGCACAATACAGGACCAAGGAGATCCAGGTCCGTCCTCCTCCACTGGATGTCTTCAGGATTATTGCTCTCAGCTCAACGTATTCCACACGATACTTGTGAGGAAAAAAAATGGAGTGAGTATTGTTGGCTGCCTTGTAATCCAACAGACAAATGTAGATCTAATAAAGATGTTCTTAATGTCAATTTCAAATTATTGAGATCAAAGATTAGCTGATTCTTAAGGTTCTCACAATTAGACATTGCATATAAAGTGTTTCAGACGTCCAGAAATACAATTATTATTGCTACATGTAGTATTTAATGTTTAAAGCCACAATCAAATGCCTCCTGGAAAAAATCAGTAGCCAGTCACCACATTTACTCTCACAGCCAGCAAGACATAGATGGAAGGGGTGGAGGATGCAACCCCAGACATTGGTTCTTCATTTGGAAATATTGAATGGGTAGCCAAAGTGAAAGCCATTCAGGAATAGAAGAGCCATCAGCAACTATCCTTCTTGCAGCTGAACCCTCCAAAGACTCTTTTTCTAGTCTCTTCACATGAACTGACTTGGTGGATACCACACAGTCACCGTAGTGAGGTGGTTAAGGAGCTGCCTAGAATCAGTTGTGTGCTCTTACATGTCCTCCACCCAAAAGATAATTAATAAAGTTTATCACTTGAAATTAGGCCTGCCCTGTAATATGTAGGCCTTCTACATAGTGTTTAAAGTCTCTTTGTGTATGTGTGTTATAAAGAGAGAGGGGAGGGAGGGGGAGAGGGAGAGGGAGAGATAGATAGATGACTTCTGGAGACTGTCTGTACAAGTTCCTGAAGTTTTCTTGGCAAGATTTTGGAAGTGGTTTGCCTTTACCTGTTTCCCAGGGCTGAGAGAGTAACTGATCCAAAATCACCCAGCTGACTTGATGCCAGAGGTAGGACTAGAAGTCACAGTCTCCTGATTTGTAGCCTGGCGTCGTAGTCCGCACAACATGGACTTTGTAGTATTGTACTTGCTAATTACCATAGTTACTTTGTATTTTAATTTGACTTATTTTTCTCTCTTTTAAAGATGTTAATGGTTTACCAAGCCAATGCAGACTGGAATGTAGAATGAATTAATTGATAACTTCTAACATTCCTAAACTTTAAGATTAAAAAAAGTCTTTGCTTTCCAGTCAGGCTATATAGCAGCATGTTTGTTTTAATAGGGCGTCTGCAGTCTGTCTTTTGATAGGAGAGAGAGAGGGGGGGGGGAGGGAGGGAGGAAGAGAGAGAGAGAGAGAGAGAGAGTTAGTTGGGATCTGGTTTGTCTCTTCCTAAATTCCAAAAAACCCATTCTCATTAACATGCTAAATTTTACACCCCTACTTTCATGTGAGCTCATGTAAATGGACACATATGTTTAATTTCATGTAACTGATTTTCTATGCGAAGGAGAGATTACTTTTCGTTCTGTCCAATTAACTTTTCTCTTGTAATTTTCCTTTGATGTGTTAACTATAAGACTGAAAGCTAAGGATTGGGGTTCCCGCTTTGAATGACAGGAATATATATTTTTTTAAATTAGAAGGTTCTGAATAAATTGTAACAAAATGATCTTCCTATCTCGGTCTGTTTCTTTGGAAAATATGCATGCCAAGCAGGGGTGAAATGTAAAATTCGTTATTACCGGTTCTGTGGGCGTGGCTTGGTGGGGGGTAATGTGACTGGGTGGGCGTGACCAACTTTTTTATTTTTACTTTTAAAAGCATTTTTTCTACAACCTCTTCAGCCAAAGAGGTTGTAAAAAAATGCTTTTAAAAGGCTCTGACGATCCCAGCTGAGCTGTGCAATCATCAAAGGCTTTTTAAAATTATTTTAAAAAGCTTTTAGAAAAAATGCTTTTAAAAGTAAAAAAAAAAAGCCTCTGATGATCATGCGGCTCAGCTGGGCATGGGGGGTGGGGGGCA